TCTGTCTGTATTTACTGAGGCTGGGAGCTCGTGTTCTGTCTGTTTCTCCGCCATCTCCCAGGAGTGAATCCACTGCATTTCCGGCACATATACGATTACTGGGCTGGAAATTAGGTCAGATGCATTTTATATGAAAGCTATACTCAGCTGACTGAAGACGTCCAATAGCCTCTGAGGGAAAAAATACTGTTTTGCTTTACATACACACATACGATCCCAACATGTCTGAGGATGTCTGAGGAAAGCTTGTGTGTCGGGCTCTGTGTGTGTGCGCATGTATGCGCTTCCCAAGATTAGCTGAAATTGGTTCACAGGCTTTTATCTGAGCTCTGTCATCAAAGCCCTTCTTCATGTTCAGCCGCTGTAGCCTCCACATGCGCTGCTGTCTTAGGCTGCTGTTTCCTTGTATGTGCAGAGTCTCCCTTAAAGGTGGACGATAAGACCTCACATTTACATCACAATATTTTTCAACAACAATAGCATTATCTTATGTTATGCCTCCCAAAAACAAGTTATATTGACAGTTTACAATGATTTAAGGTAAATAAATGATAAGTGGTAGATTCTTAATTAGGGATGCTCAAATCGGAATCGGCCAAGATCGAGTCAACAGATTTTTGCTCCAAATTTGCGGTTGGCTAATTTATTGTTTTCATTTTGTCTACTTGTTGTGGCATTTCAGTGATGTAAATAATGTGACTCACGTAAGTGCACTCATGCTGTATTTGAATGCTTCTGCTAATGCTGTACGAAAATATCGTAGCATAATAATCTGTGACTCATTGTGCTAAACAGGCAGTTGCCTTTTTCTTTCAATGTAATGCTTTATTTGGTTCATGTTATTTAAATAGACAACTGACTTTTCATTTCACCATGTCAATGTGGCCTATTAAAGAGCAAATATTGTTATTTCTCTTGTAACTTTATCTAGTCAAAGATACTGAAAATGTGCTGGTGTGTCAGTTGCCCCACAGTTTGAGCTTAAAATAAAGTTGAGGCTTAAAGCTTAAAAGCATGAGGTTTTAAAAAGGCTAATATAAAATCGTCTAATGGCCAAATTGGCTGTCAAAAAAACAAAAATCAGCCGTAAAAATGAATGATCGGTACATTCCTGTTATTACCTTATGAAGCTAAATGTAGGGACTCGCTCAATCCTCACCCACTTCAGCTCACCACTTGGAAGTATGCCACACCTTGGGCTGAATTATGTGTGGTAAATATCTAATTGTGATTTTTCTGACCAATATTGCAAACACAAAATTAAGCTTCAGGCCCTTTTTTCCTCAAGAAGACCAGCACATCTCATTTTTCAGACCTGAGACTTGAATACTGAATTTAGTGTACCAGACATCCAGTTTACTAGCTTTGTGTTATTAGGTTACATTTCCCATCTTGAGATTTAGTAAGATAATGTTGAATAATGTGGGTTATATTTAAAATTGCACTCCTTCATGTTGTGATTTCAATATACAACTGTTTAATTGTTCAGCTCCAGTCACACATATGTTATACAAGTGGCCACTCACAGCACAAGGTAGGGGGGCAGTGAGCAGTGGATTTTTAAATCATATCAGTGCTCAGTTGGCCTCAGTGAACTAATTGGCTAGCTGTGCAAACTTTGTAATGCAAAACATTTTAAGGTGTGTGAACATGCACAAAAATGTGTGTAATTGCTTTCTCTATAAGACTATAAGCTTTGCTTTAAAACCATGATGTATTGCTTTTCTTTTTGTTGTTGCTAGCTGCATAGTCTTTAGCTTGCTATCTAAGAGAGTAAAGCAGTGAAGTTGTACCAGGAGTCATGTGTAACAGATGGAGCATTCTGCTACAAAGCCCAGTTTGAACATTGGAAGTTGAATGTCTTAGTTTTTAAATAAAAATTTTAAATATAAGTATTGTAGTTAAAGTGTCATATTGCTTTAAACAGCTTTGACTGACATTTTTTGAGAGATTATAGAGGAAAATGCATCAGATAGCAACAATTTAAAGTCAACAGTTGTGTTCACTCGGTCCTTCAACCCTCCAAGGGCTCATTTAACAAACTTTACTTGAGCTAAAATAAATGTTGAATAAACTGATAAATAATAGGCCGACTGTTTGCAACTCTAAAGCTTTCTTCTCTTTCTTGTACAAATGCTAACCTCCTCATACACTCCATTAGTTTCTTCCTGCACATATAGCGCGCTGAAATAGATGTTTACACCTTCAGCTTTCATGTGACAGCATAACTTGCACAGTATACTTTCATTTATGGAATGTGTGAAGTCAAACCACTTCGGCATATTTTTAGTTCACTGTTTTTGGGTTTGTGAATATACTTTTCTACTAGTCTATCTCCTCCAGAACAGCTTGGCTTTCACATTGAGCTGCAAAGAAACGGAACCATTATGCGCTTTGTTAGTCTTCAGTAATTGAATGTCTCCTGTTAGTAATGAAGTTTTAATTATTTGTTTTATGCGGATGTCTAACCAGCTTGCTCTCATTTTAAACTGAGACTGCTTTTGAATCTAAACATTCCCCCAAGAAGACAAAGAAATGCAATTAACATCAGTATTTTTCCTTTTCTTCACAGAAATCACAAGCCTTTAGTTTGAATCACCTGAGCGGTACTGAACATGCTACTAACTTCTAGATAGCAGAAAAAACACCAAACTCACCCTGTATTAAGAGCCAGAAGAGTTAGTGAGAAGCCTCTGTTCTCCCAGGCTGGCATAGTGAGATGGGGACACCCAGATGAGAAGTGACTGTTGGCCTGGTTGGCATTTCGTGCTTGTAGCCAGAGCTGTGTGTGAGGTGGGAGTGAAGGAGGCGGCTGTGTAAGACGCTGTCCGCTCGTGTTTGAGTTGGGACGCTGCCTGAGTGGATCTGAGAGCTGGCCCTGGAGAAGCCGCTGCAGGTGCATGCTACAAAAGCCAGTTAGTAATGCGGGTTGGCTTGGAGACTCAGTTGGACCAGAATGGAGATGACTGTTTAGTAGTTTGGCGACAAGTTTGCACAATGATGTCTCGAGTTTACTTCTTTGGCTTTGTGTCTGGAGCTTCAAGCTGATGTAGCTAACAAGCAGTGGAATCTTATGTACTTTGTTCATTAACATTATCATTATTTAGGCATGCAGTTTGCACAGGGTTGCCTCAAATTGTGTGTGTCTCAAATAGACTCACATATATATGTTTTGACGTACTGTTACACACCGATCAGGGTAACATTATGACCACCTCCTTGTTTCTGTGCTCATTGTCCATTTTATCAGCTTCACTTACTATATAGGTGCACTTTGTAGTTCTACAGTTACAGACTGTAGTCCATCTGTTTCTCTGCATACTTTGTTAGCCCCCTTTTACCCTGTTCTTCAGTGGTCAGGACCCCCAGGACCCTCACAGAGCAGGTACTATTTGGGTGATGGATCATTCTCAGCACTGCAGTAACACTGACGTGGTGGTGGTGTGTTAGTGTGTGTTGTTCTAGTCTGAGTGGATCAGACACAGCAGTGCTTCTGGAGTTTTTAAACACCGTAGTGTCACTGCTGGACTGAGAATAGTCCAACAACCAAAAATATCCACTGACCACTGAAGAACAGGGGAAGAGGGGGCTAACAAAGCGTGCAGAGACAAGTAGGTGGTCGTAATGTTATGTCTGATCGGTGTATCTGTAAAAAATAAACTAGATTTAAGCCTGAAGGTGTCTGCTGTTACTGTTTTTACTACCATTTACTGACAGATGAATTAGTGTTTGACCAATGCCAATATTGGTTAAAAAGTTATTTAAAAATTTATTTAGTTTCCAATAAGCAACTGTTCTTATTTTATTAGGGGGTTAATAATTCGAGCTGTGGAATGTTTTTGAATTGTGTACTTGAGGATCCAATAGGTGGTTCTACCAGGCCTACTAAAAAACTGATGTACCATATTGAAAGCAAACATCTGCAATGATCTCCGAGAGAAGTTGTGATGCACAGCGGTGTGAGGAAATCACACATAAGTGTGCAAAATAATAGAGAAGGACGTAGTGGATAATGACTGCTTTCCAGAGCTTCTGAGGTACACTGAGCCAAAGCTGCCCCAGTCATGATTTATACGTTTTAACTTGGGCTAGTAATGAGTGATAAATAGAACTTGAGAATGTAAAACGTTCAGTAGCCAATCGTTACAGTCATTTTGTGAAGTTTTTAGCTTTTGGTCATATATTAAAATGTACACAGTCTCTGTAGAGGATGTGTTTACTTATTTTCACATAGAGAATTCGACTGGCCCCACCTTTTAGGGCTACGTTCCATGATCCATACATGGAACACCTTTCAGTATCTGCACAGTTTAGTACAGAATTCAACTGATGTGTGTGCTAATAAAAGTGTGAGTATGTTTGAATTATGTGGTTCTGTCACAGTGTTACCTAAAAAAATGACAACATTTAGGTCTCACAATAATTGATACCACTGTATTGAGCTATGCATACTTTCATCATCTGGTATCGAATAGAGGACATTTGAATAAGATACTAAACCAGTGCGTGTTCTTTATTGTGAATCAACAGCAAAACAGGTTTGAATTGAAAAGTAAAGTCAGTGTGAATCAGAAATCGTAATGCGTTTTGTTTTCTTTCCGTGATAGCTAAGGATGGTGGGAAAGGGAGGTGAAACACATTATTAGCTAATATTATTTTTCCCTGCCAGCTGGTGCATGGTGATGTAATCAAGACTCTGAACACGTTTTAGAGGCATGCAAAAGTTGCTACGCTGAGAAAACAAGAATTTTGTCTTTCAAATGATATGATGGATTGTGCTTAATTTGACCAGGGATTACATGCTAACAAGGGTAAAAAAAAAAGTCAGATTTCAGGTTGACTTTAATATGTTTGCTTGCCGATTGCTGATTCTTAGTAGCTTTGCACAGTGTTAAACTTTCACTAATGTGACCTTAAATCTGTATGATAGTAAACAAAAGTGAATAGTGAATAAGCTTGTGTATTCACTCCTCGCTCTCTCTCTGTCTCTTTCTCTGCAGCTCCCGGCGGATTTCAGCAGACTGCACCTGGCTGACGGGATCCACCCCCAGGTGACGCACGTCTCCTCCAGCCTCTCAGGATGTAGCATCACCAGCGACTCTGGGAGCAGCAGCCTGTCCGACATCTACCAGGTATCATTCTCACCCACAGAAACCAACAAAAGAAAATGTTCCTGAATTAAAAAGAAAAAAGTGTCCGTAATTAATAAAGCTGTGGATATGTCTATGAGTTCATTAGGTAACAAATTTAACACCCAGAATGCTTCATATTTGAAAAAGTGGTAATCAAATCTTGAAAAATGTCTAAATAGATAAATATAGTTTGCAATACGAGTACATAATAAATATACTCAAAATATTGAATAAAACATCTAAAAATTCCTTTTGTTTTCTTAAATCTATACCACTGCATATAAAATAACCTTGTATATAACATAACACAATGTTATTACTATTATTCAAAATAGTAATCATAATTGTGTATTGTATGTTATATGTATGTATAAAATAAAGTCTATTACTTTTAAAGTGTTTTGTAAACGTATACTGTGTTGAATAGACTTGTACAGCACTGGTTGCTCAGTCCTGGTCCTGGAGATGTACCACCCTGCAGAGATTAGCTCCAACCTTAATCTTAACACATTCAGGCCTTCAGTGACATCTGATTATTAGAGCCGGGGTGCTGGATCTGAACTCCCTACGGTGGTAGATGTCTAGGACCAGGAGGACCAGGACCCCTGCTCTGTGGCATAAACATGTTTGTTTAAGCATGGTGATGGCCCTACTTAATGTGCTGTTTTTTAGAGGGCTCTCTGCATTTTGAGAACCAGTGAGTTTGCTGTACCTCAAGCATTGTTGTGTGGTTGCAGGTTTGAATCTGCATATGTGCTGTGTAAAGCTTCCTTTTTCTCAAAGGAGGCTATACAATAAATGTGTCCTATCAATATTTATCATACAAATATTTTCCCCAGAATGTCCTACAATACCCCTGCTGTGTTATTGAACCAATCAGCTTTATAAACCGAGCGCTGCCCCCTCATGTATCTCTGTGTCTGTGGATGGTCCTTTGTGCCTCTGAGTCTGATTAATTGTGTTTGGTTTAGTGTTTGCTTCGCTGTTTAATTGATTTACTGAGTACATTTGTGATGTGCTCACGGATTAGACTTGCGCTGTGTGCAGAAGTGTGAAGTGTGTCCCTGTGCTGTGTGTCTGTGTCCATCTTTCAGTCTGTGTGTGCGTGCGTGTGCACTCTGTGTCCACTCTGTGATCCTGGTCTGATGACCATCTGTTTAAGTCTCATTAGCAGCTGTGTGGTGTCCTGATGAAAGGAGACTGTGCCCTTTTTCTTCACTCCTCCTACACTCCTCCCCTTGCTCCATACTACCCTTACTTGCTTGATTCTTACTGCACTCCTCCTCTCGATCCCTTCTGCACTCCTCCCTTCGCTTCCACTTATATCCTGCTGCAACCCTCCCTTTACTCTCTGCTGCACTCCTTCGCTCGCTCCCTACCATACCCCCCCTCCATACTATACTCCTACTATACCTCCCTACTGCACTCCTCCCCTTGCTTCCTTTCTCATTCTCACTTCCTACTGCACTCCTCCCCTCGCTCCCTCCTGCTCTTCTCCCAGTGCTCCTACTGCTCTCCTCTTTTTGCTTCCTGCTACACTCTGTTAATACTCCCTAGTATGCTGCTCCTCTTGCTCGGAACTCCAGTCCGCCCTTTGCTCCCTTCTGCTTTTCTCCCTTCACTCCCTACTGTCCCTCTGCTACACTCCTTCCTTCACTGGCTATGTGCTCCTTCCTCGCTTCCTCCTGCACTCCTCCCTCTCTCCCCGCTACACCTTTTCCTCTGCTCTCTACTGCACTCCTTCCCTCGCTCCTTGTTGCCCCCCCCCCATCCCTACTGCCCCCAGCATCTCACTCCCTGCTGCCCTGTGTCCACTGAATTCAAGCTTGCTGCCATTATAAGTGACAGGTACATACACAAATATAGTGACACTATAAAACACACAGAGATTGTTAAAACTCTTTGTTTTAGATTTTAATCCAGGTTTTTAACAGCGCATCCAAACGTCTGAGTCTTCCTGCCCTCCTACTGTCTTCTTCTGTGCCAGCTACCCAGCTTTGCCCCCACCCACACAGCTTTGTGGAAATGGCCCATATCCTCACTGAACCTGCCCTTTTTCTTTTTTTTCCCCCTCTATTTTTGCATTTGAATAAATCATGACACAGGTTCTTCAGAGGGGCTTGAAAGCATTGATCCAAGAATAGCCCCTCTGAAATATTAATGCTCCCTTCACGCTCATCTGAGCCATCCAAACAGCACTGTGGATCACACTCATTGTGGCGGCTTGAAAAATAGATCGCCCTTCCTCAGAGAGGTGATTTACAGTGTCTGTGTGTGTCTTCCCTGATTAGCTCTTAATGGTTTTCAAGGAAAAAAATAAAACATCTCAAGCTGCTTAACTAACATCATTCATGATGGTCAAATTACAATGTGTCTGAATCCAGCAGGGAGCAGGCAGATTGAATAAACACAGTGACATGATGGATTTCGTTTGTCTAGTTAAACTGTATAAACTCTTCCTTCTATTACTGTGCGTTCAGTAAGCCAGCAGGTTATTGCCTAAAGCAGACAGCTGCAAAATATAAATATTGTTACATGCAAGCACTCTTGAGCATTAAATTGACATCATGTGACTTTATCAAGTGTGGTAGAGACTTAGGCAGCTCCCTACAATTTGAATATATGGTTATATAACTAGGGGCGGCTATCAAAATGCTATACCTTGATGGTATGAATTACTTCAGTAGTCAGTCCTATGATCTGCAAGGCAGTAGGCATGCTTGTTTCAAAATCTAGAGTAGTGATTGGCTGATTAAATTACATTCCATATGCATGTTATTAACAACTGTGTCTATTGATTTGTCTACGATGTATTACAGTCAGCAAAAAAATCACCCATTGTCTGTTTAAGCCCATTTCAGAGAATTGCATTGTTCAGGACTGCATACGGAGCACAGGGAGGAGCGTGCTAGAGAGTAGTTAAGGAGTGTAGTAGGGAGCGAGTGCTAAAACATGAACTTGCTTATAACATGGATGGAACAATATTCATGTTTCATCTACTTATCAGTCTCATAATTAAGAGGATCCAGTGACGTACACAGGAGAAAACCAGGCAGCTTTGGGATCTTTTTGTTTGCCACAGAGTGGTGATAAACAATAAAATGCTTAGACCTTGGACTTAAATATGTATAATTTTTATACTGAAATGGCGATTTGAAAGAATATATAATATCGGTCATAGATATTTTGCCCAAATCGATCAGCCCTACTTAGACCTTATTTGGGCATGTCGCTAACAACAGAATGACCCACATCCTTGGAGGTTTATAGAAGGGTGCTATGTATGTGGATCTGGACGTTGAATTAATTAGTATGCTTTGTTTTGTGTTCCCAGTTGACCACTTTATAGCTTACTGATTCTTAAGATAAGAGCACAGAATGTCTCATTTGAATTGTACAGAACTTGCTTTGAGCATGGTGGTGTATGTGAGATTGTTTTGCCTCATCTTGGCGTAAGTCCTGTTGAAAACATCTGTGTAGTTTTAATCTCAGCTTGACCAGCAGCACGAGAATCTGCCAGAAGGTCAAAACCTCTTTGAAATGACTTAGTCTTTACCTTTGCATTGGCATTGTTAAGTGAGATGTGATAGACTCGTTCTTAGTCTTTCATGGTTGCCACCTGCAACGGCTTCCCCTCCCTCTTTCTTGCCTGACTCCGCCCCCTAGAGACCCTCCTGCTCATGCTCTGCCCAGCTATCCTTTCTAGATTCCGACTGGCTGTTCGCACCATCGTGTCAGAATATTTGATGAGTCGTTCAGATGTCGTCTGAGGAGAAATGACATGTGCCGGGTACAAGGGGCTTAAAAAATTAAAAGTGGCCAGCAGCAGGACCTGAAAGGATGGGGCTGGGCGCTGGTTTCTACAGACACTTAGCCAAAGCTGCATCGTGGGTCCTTTCTGGCAAGAATAGCCCACCTCCTGGGCAACTCCAGCAGGTGAGAGTGATTGGGGTTGATGATTTGAATTATCGCACATGGCCCAGATTATGGAGCTCCTTTGTTTCCGACTGAGCTGGGTGGGCGACGGCCTGCATCCGTCTGAATGCAGAATTTGACGCTGATGACAGCAAAGCTTTTCATTTGGAGCCACTGACGTCTTCAGGGGTTGTTTTTCAGCTTCTTCTGCTCCTTCTCACGTGTTTGGTTGGAGCATCTTTAACCGTCACCAGCATCACACGTGAACTGTTTGACCCCCCAGTCTGCTTATCGTCATGGTGATGGCCTGGAGCTGATGAATAGGTTTGATGTGCGCTCAGATGAGAGGAGCATCTGTTTTAAACGTTACTCGCTCTCCATATTTTAGTATTCATGTTAAGTTGGGCTTGGCTGTTGTTTTCTCTCACGCTCAATGACGTTTATTTGTCACATTTTAAGCCTTTTGGATGAGCCTATTGATGCACGCTTCAGTAGATAAAGTGCCATTGTCTGAGATGTGGTCACTTGCAGACAGTCTGTAATGTAATTAATGCATTTTGTTAGATTTGGTGTCTATTCAGTCAAGTTCTTCACCTGTAGTTGTTTGAGCAAAGATCATCCGTGCTGCACCTGCACCATCAGTCCTCAGACACTTCTCCTGAATCATTTATCATCTTTGTTTGTATGTTAGAATAAAAGGACTGCACAGCAATCAGTGTAGTTTGATCGGTTTACATTGTATTATTTATGTTGTATATCACTGTTCTTTGATCAGAATTTGTGGTAGTGGGTTTTAATTATGGAACAAGGACTTTTTTAAGGGTCACTGGGCACCCTTGTATTGAGAGTAACACAACATAGGCCTTTGGTCTTAGTTGTGGGTGTTGGTGGGACTGAGAGATGGTTTCTGATCTGCAGGCCACTGAGAGCGAGCCAGGGCGATATGGACCTCAGCGGCCTGCCTGAGACAGCCGTCGACTCGGAGGAGGACGACGATGAGGAAGATATCGAACGTGCCTCCGATCCCCTCATGAGCCGAGACATCGTCCGGGACTGCCTGGAGAAAGACCCTATGGATCGCACGGATGATGACATCGGTAAGACACATATACACAAGCATTTTTTGGTATTGGGTTGTACATGTAATATATATGTAATATATAATATAATATTTGTGTATGTAATATACATACGCCTTATATATATGCCAGTACCTGTATAAAATATGTACCACGTGTTATATGGACCATTGTACAAAATTAGTTCAAACTGCATGCAATCACATAGTAATATATATATATAGTCAACTTTTTAAGTGTTTTAATGAAACATGATTTTATTTGTGTACAGCTGTTCAGAGCTGCGTTTTTTGAGTTATGCTCAAAATTAGCTAAAATGATCACTACCGAAACAGTCATTACTAAAATATTCAATGTTCAATCATTTGCTTTAATAAAATAAACATAACTAAGGTATAGGGTCATTCAAAGCAAAAGGACTTTTGTGTAAATCTGTCATGGGTTTTGAACTCTTTGAACCAATTCAGTAGAATGATCCTTATACATTTTTGTATTTATATGTAATAATAAATCCTATTCATGTTATATTTGCAAATATCTGTGTGTAATAAGAGTTTTCTAACCCTGAACCTGTCTCTAATCTTAACTTCAGACACCAAAAAGATTTTTTTTTTTGTTCAACTGACAAGGTGACTTTGAACGTGCAACCTTTTTATCCATTTTGTTTTGTGCTCTCATTTTCAGTACTGTATTAAAATCATCACCCCTTAGTATCTGTCCATTCTAGACTCTAAAAGAAAGTGCATGGGTCAGTTTAGGAAAAAAAAAGCCAGGAAAATATACTCCTTCCTTTAGAAGGGAAAGGTGAAGCAGAATTATTAAGGTGGACTGAGGGACGCAGGCTGGTGTGAGAGAAGGTATGTGTTATTTTTCTGGGTCGCCCGCCTGCCTGTGCTTCCTCAAGCACATTAAACTTTGATTGGCCAGGCGTCTCTCCATGCTCCTGCTCCGCTCCAGTGCTGAGAGACCAAACACAGGCCAGCCAGCGCTCAGACAGGCCGCAGGCACACACGCAAGCTTGCGCACGCAGTCAGCTGGACCGCTGAGGGCCCTGTCAGCCCTGTCACACACCAGTCCAAGCCAGACTTGATTTGTTTAATGTGCCAAGCGACAGACAGAAAATGACCATCCCCCGCTATGAGTGCAGTTAACACTGATTGTAAATGAAGTCATCTGAATTTGATATTTATTAATGAACTTTTTTTTCTTCCTGCTTTCTTTTCTGTGGAGATTCTGTCAGTCACTGGTTATGTTAGCAAATAGAAGGTGCACACGTCTGGCACTGAAAAGGTGTCATAATGAGGATGAAAATTCTCTACCACTCCATCGTCTGAGCTGCATAGTATTAGCCATTTTCAGAGCCTGCATTGCCTTTGGCGCTGAGGCATTTGATGTTGTTTTGCTGTTATTTTCGTAGCAGCGGAAAGTGCCTCTCTCTGTTCTTACCGAGTCTCGTGCTGATCAGACTCCTGTCTGCTAGAGCCGATCTGAGTGAAGGAGTGCCAAGTGGCCCACTTTCCACTTTCCACTTTTCCCATTTTCCTCTGTCTCTTCCTCTCTCTCTCTCTCTCTCTCTCTCTCTCTCTCTCTCTTCTGTCTTTCCCTCTCTCTTTCTCTCTCGCTCATGGCTCATCTTGTCTTTCTGTCTCTCTAATTTGCCCTTCCTGTGTCGTCTCTCTTACTCTTGTCCACAGAGCAACTGCTGGAGTTTATGCACCAGCTGCCGGCCTTCGCCAACATGACCATGTCGGTCAGGAGGGAGCTGTGTGCAGTCATGGTTTTCGCCGTGGTGGAGCGGGCCGGCACGATCGTCCTTAATGACGGCGAAGAGGTCAGCTGGCATAACATGGAACCTTAAGTTTTCATTTTTTTTTTCCTTTTTTTCCTTTTACAAGCATTTGATATACTGTGTAAACTTGTCACTCACTTCCCCTACTGTGCATACATGGAAAAATGCAAAAACCACCCATTTTGAATTTATTGTAGCTGTGATGTCCCAATCAAGAACACTTTTACACATGTCGCTGAGAAGGTCTGAGGCACTGGACAGAGTACATTGAAAATTTGAAAAATGTTATTTGATTGGGCAGAAAGTGCTTTTTTAAAAAACATTGAAAATCAAATCAAATCATCAAAATTAAATCCAAGTGATATTAGTACATTAAGACAATTTTATATATATTAGTGTGTTTATTTAAGCATTTCCAGATCCCTCTGTGACAGTCCAGTGCTTGTAGTTGTCATCAGTACCTATTTTGGCTAATCAGTCCTTCATTAAAGCTGTTCTGTGTAAGATTTTCATGTTGAAATTGAAAGAAGTCAGGAGAAAAAGAAACATGCTGAAATACGGTGTGCAAGCGCAGATGTGAATCGCCCTGTAAAACCTCAAATAATCTTTTCAGAAAAGCAATGGGTCGAGTTTTTCAGACCACTGCATACATCTTCACATCGCGTGCACAGGCTCAGAAAGAAGGTCCAGGTCGATGTTTAGGTCTCAGAGGCAAAAGTGCAATCATTAAATTCATCCCCTTAGGGAAGGGATCCGAAGCAGTCAAACAAAACAAAAAGTTTTGTAAAACAAAAGTTTACAAAATATCTTTCCGCGTGTTGCATGCAATTAGACATATCCACCAGAGAGGTCCCCAGCGCATAAATAGTGTGGCTTTAATGTGTGCTTGTGTTGGATGCTGCCAGTAACTGGAAAATCATCCAGTTACTGAGGGCATCGAGGGGAAATCTGGACCCAAACCTTTTTTTTTCTGACTAGCTCACAACATATCAATTATTTTTTTCTGTTTCATTCTACTGCATTAGTTGTTTGAATTTATTCTGATGTTATGCAAGCAAGCAAAAATATACATATTGCCCAGATTTTAAACAACTGGCTTAGGTACCCAGGACGTTTGTCAGGCAAAATAAATGTCAGGCAACGCTTTTAAGCCCTCCACGAGATCTGGACATTCAAAAGGAGTGGCTGAAGTTTATTTTTTTTTTTCCAGACATTATCGTTTGGTCCATATGTTTCAGCCCAGACTGCTTTTTGAGTGAGGCAGGATACAGTTTTTAAATATAGCACTCTCATGTGGAAATGAGTTAAGAAGTGTGTTTGGTACATTAAGCCATATAAATGTTATAAGCGCGCTTCGAGTAAAAGGCAGATCGTCGCTGTCCAATGAAAAACATGTATCTTAGTTTTTTTGCGATTTTTAGTTGTCTGCATCATTTCAGCTCAGCAGCTGTCCTATAGATTGTGTGATATCATGATGATTGGGTCAATAGAAATGCTCCAAATTTGCTTAGAATAAAATCTCTTTCTATTAACTTGCATTGAAAGTAAAGAGGGTTCTTGGCCTCCCCTTTGAAGTTACTATTTTGGAGATACTTCTTTTTCCTTAGGCAGCAGCAAAATAAGAAAAATTAAGAAAATGGGCCCTTTTTACCATGTGTTCGACAATAAGTTTGATCCTTACAGTTTAAATTCACCCCCCTCTTTCTTTCAGTGTGATTTAACACCTTACTAGGTTTTGTTAGGACCTCTGTGCTGTTCAACCCTATTAACAGTCTTCTTTTCTACAAAAAGTCTTTATCTTCAGATAACCCCTCTGTCTTGATCAAAACTTACATTAGCTTCCCTTCTTAGCTTGTATTTACTACCATCGGTCGCCATGTCCAGACCTCTCCATTCAGATTCTGCCCTGTTAAACCTGAATGAATGCCAGCGTTCATCAGGCTGTAATCGTAGTGTGCCTAAGGGAGGGAGAATGGAGATCACTTATCTCCTAGTACGAGTGTAGACATACCAGCGAGAACCATTTTCCTCCTTAATGCATCCGGACAAATGGGTCAAGGAAGGGGCTTAGACTCTGGCCAATTCTGCAGAAAAGCCAGTCAATGGGAAGACAACAGCATTTTCTCCGTATGTCAGGAATACCCCATTAAAGAATGCCTGGGACTGTCCATAATGCAATGACAGGATAGATTGCTTCTAAATTTGTCAGAAGATTGATGTTATTTTTCACCAAATGGTTACTAAGAGCATTATGTGTCCCTGCTGAGGACCTTACACAATGTAATGCATTATGCTTCCATCTTAATACAATTTAAATGTACATCTAACAATATTAATTTCTCATTTCCTGTAGGGATGATGAAATAATTTGATATAGTTAATAGATATAGGTGTAGGCCTGTGGCTGCAGTAATATAGAGCACAATACCACATGACTTATTCCTGCTTAAATGCACTGTGTCTGCAGCAGCCGAAAGAACTGGGGTCAGAAGGCATAAAGAACAGCCCACTTTAACTTTACCCACTTTAACACGTACCTGACATCACTGGCATGTGTAATTAAACTACTATGGTTCCAAAATGTTATTTTGTATATTTCTGTTAATGATGGCAAATATCAGCCTTTAAAATGAGTTTTTCTTTGGTCCGTGCAGCTGTATCTCTAAAATTTGAGTGTGTTTTGCCCTGTGTGTCCTGCAGCTGGACTCATGGTCAGTCATTCTGAACGGCTCGGTGGAGGTGACGTACCCCGAGGGCCGTACGGAGATCCTCTGCATGGGCAACAGCTTCGGCGTCTCTCCCACCATGGAGAAAGAGTACATGAAGGGAGTTATGAAGACCAAGGTTGACGACTGTCAGGTGAGTCCATAGACGACTTGTTTCAGGACTCAGGACCCCTCAGAAACCAGTGCTACTTTTCTTATTCAGTGTAAAATCTCTATATCTCACCGTGTGGAGTCATCTGCACATATACATATACATATGCATTTCCTAAAAAATGGAGTAAGTGCAAGGCAAGGAAATTGTCTTAGGAAAATGGAACAAACAAGAAGAATGAACAAACAAAAGAAGGAAAGACTCTGAGGGTTAATGTATAACAGCAGAATGTGTGTTACTTAAGTTAGAAAAGTATTCCTGTGGTGCTTGTGCCGTTTAGTGCACATATGACTTAACAACATTTGTTAACACCTACTCCAAAAATAATCTTTCCCACCAATGAGTCATGGAAGTAAAGTGAAATAAAATAGAAAAAACAGAGGAAAGCAAGAAATACAGAAAGAAAGAAGAGAAAGAAGGAAAGAAAAAGACAGAACAAAAGAAAGGAAAAAGATAATAAAGAAAGAAAACTAATAAGAACAGAAAGAAGAAAGAAAATGAAGGAAAAGGACGTAATAAATTTTAGGGGGAAAAAAATAAAAATAATTAGCCTATAGCAAGAGGTTTAGTAATCCTTGTATTTGTTCCAAAAATAATCAGCTACAAACTACTAATTACAAAATACAAAACATAAGGGATTGGCAAATTCTGGAGTCAAAATCTTCTTTTTCTAATAAATAGATTAGTATCATTTCAAAAATTTGAAGAGTTTATGAATTCATTTAAAAGTCTGAAAGTTATTGGTACATTGGAAGAGGGAAATGAAGAATAATTTGGATAGCTCATCTTCCAACCACTGTACTACACAAATAAATATGCATAAAAAGTAACTGAAGATTATGATAAATTACATTGCTGGATGATGTACTGTGCAATTTAAAACAGCTGCGGCTAAGAAATTCTATCTAATATGGATGGATTGAGTATTTCTAGTTTCAGTGCAAAGCAAAAATGGCTGAAATCCTTTTGTAGTTTCAGCCCATTTTGGGGTTCCTGGGGAGGCAGCTCAAGAGATTCTCTATTGTCTTTTGCCCAATCCTGTTTAGCTGTTATAACGGATTCATTTATGGTGCTTACGGCTGAAATAATGTAGCCCTGCCCACATGAGTATGAGTATAATGGGAGTGATTAGCTGAAATTTGGCAATAACGAAAACTTTGGCTGCGTTTCAGTACACCACTCTAGTTAGCGCATTTCAGTGAGCGCATTAAGGGTCTAATGCAGTGATTTAAATTAGCTTCAGATCCTGGCCAGACTGTAAATAAATCAGGTTTAAGGACAGAGGCTGCAGTTGGCTCCGTAAAGACTTCACCTCACTGATTATTTGTGTTGTAATGCTAATTTTTTCTTTATCTCTCCTTCTCTTTTTCTTTCACTCCCTTCTTTCTCTCTCAGTTTGTATGTATAGCACAGCAGGACTACTGCTGCATCCTCAACCAGGTGGAGAAGAACATGCAGAAAGTGGAGGAGGAGGGTGAAATTGTCATGGTGAAGGAACATCGTGAGCTGGACCGCACCGGCACCAGAAAAGGACACATTGTCATCAAGGTGAGAAAAGGAAAAGTAAAAAAAAAACGCTTGTTGAGACCATACAAGCTTGTGCTTTCTGGCACTTTTCCTTGGGAAATTCCACGTTCTTTGACCAGCCTGTAAAACAGATGCTACTCGGCAGGCCGACAGTAACTCAGTTTGATTCTTGTTCTTGAGAGACACACTTTACTCCAAGTAAATTACACTGGAGGTGTTATTCGCCGTAATGAGGAGGATTTGTTACTGAACCTCCAGAAGTCCCCTGATTGCTCGCTTAAGCCCAGGGATTCGCTGCTTACACCTGCGATTGACATGGCATTTGAACTGAATTACATGGATGTGTATTGAACGTGTCCTCTAATTGATTCTTGAACATGAAAATCTGCTGAATGGCGCACAGCGGAAGCTTCTTTCAGACTGAATGGGAAGTAGCTCTAATGAGCACAGATACCTCTGTGATTGGAGAAGCGAGGAAAAGTCGCCCAGTAACAGTGAAATTGTTCTCGAACTGCAAGATAATCCCACTACTTACTTTTGAGGGTGAACCCAGGCTTTTTGACATATGTGCTTTAATAGGGCATGAGGTAATGATGTTTGCACACAGTGAAGTGCCCTACATAGTGTAGCTTTAACTTGAAGTAGTAATTTGGTGAAAAATCAGTTTTTCACAGTTTAGTCCTTATGCAGTCAAGACATGTTTGGTCTTCTTTTACACCAGAAATTATGTTGAGTTTTTGCATGATCTCAAATGAACTTGTGGTTCTGTGTAAGGTACAGTTGTCTCTAAAAAAAAAAAAAAGTAGAGACAGACGGACGCTAGAGTGGCGCATCCTTTTCAGCATTGGCTGTGCTGTTAGGAGATTACGGATTCAATCCCTGGCGATGCCCTAGCCCCAGTGGCAAGACAGCAAAAACCCCTATGGACAGTTCTTTCTGTGGACGATTTTCAATTCACAACACATTGTGTGCCCGAGTACTGAGCAAAAGTTAAGAAAGCATGTTACAGCAGCTTTGCCAACTCGCGCCACACTAAGCAATGAAATTAAAACCAGAAGTTGATGTGCTTGGATAGGACATTACGGCCTGTTTAGAAAAGACAATTGTATAAAAATTGTGATTAATACTTTACTACTTTGCAATTCCAGTCAAACAAAGTGGACCTTGTGACTGCTCATGTCAACTTTTTTGCCTATTTTTTCGTAACCTACATGTTTTTACCTGTGTAGGGGCTGTGTTTGTGTTGTTTGTGTGTGACTTTGAGAACTCTGATTGTGAGAGTGCTCAAACCACAAGACAAGTAACACAAAATTTCTGCCATCCCAGAAGTTTATCAGATTTTCCTGCTGCTCAGTCAGAGCTTATTTGGACAGTTAGTCAGGCATTGCTATCATCCCTCATACAGCACATCAGACGATGGCTGATGAAGCTGAAAAAACGAGCTAGAATCTCACATTGTATGTCTGGCTTTAGACACACAGTTTGCACAGCACTAAATAGTGAGGTGTAAGATCCCTTACCTTTGCAGTACATAAGCCTAGTAGCTCCAGTCCAAAATAAAGAAGTAGACTTGGGACACCAAACCTTATGGCTGATTGACTACAATTAGGGTAAATAAACTATTCCTTAATATGGGTCTCATTTCACACACTTCTTTGCACTGCAGGGCACGACAGAGCGTCTGACCATGCACCTAGTAGAGGAGCACTCGGTGGTGGACCCCACCTACATCGAGGACTTCCTACTGACCTACCGCACCTTCCTGTCCAGCCCCATGGTGGTGGGCAAGAAACTGCTGGAGTGGTTCCATGACCCCAGCCTCAGGGACAAGGTAAAAAATGCACACATACGCATGCTTCCTCACTCCACACGCATATATATTTTTGTCAGTGCATAACTGTGTGTAAATGCTCATGTTCCCAGGTTACACGGGTAGTCTTGCTGTGGGTGAACAATCACTTCAATGACTTTGAAGGTGACCCCGAAATGACACATTTTCTCGAAGAGTTTGAGAACAATCTGGAGAGAGAGGTCAGTTTGCCTCAAACATGCGCTGTTTTTTTCACTAAATTCTGCCAGTGCAGCTTCCTTTGCTTTTGTGCTGTTGCTTTAAAGCTTATCCTGACTCTTTCCTGTGATAAAACAGAAAATGTGTGGGCACTTAAGACTGTTAAACATAGCGTGCGCTGCCAAAGCCAAGCTGCGAGTGGTGACCCTGACCAAGCCGTCACGAGAAGCCCCACTGGCCTTCACTCTGTTGGGTGGCTCCGAGAAGGGCTTCCGCATCTTCATTGACCACGTGGAGCCAGGCAGCAAAGCTGCGGAAGCGGGCCTCAAACGCGGAGATCAGGTACTACACCATGAAGCTCTTAATGATGACATCACCTCTTTTCAGAGCTTTCCACATGGCAGTTGAAGCTAAAAGAACAGAGATGCCTCTGAAAAAAATCACGTTGAAGCATTTTAAATTAGAAAAATGCATGCTCAGTACAAAATTTGTGATGTAAGCTTGGCATGCCATAAAACGGGTCTCAAACTCAAATTACCTGTGAACCACCGGCCATGTGGTCTTTTTCAATGGGAGTTTTTTGGGAAAAAAATGTGCCATGTTTTTATATGTGCACTCATTTAAGTGCCTGTTCATTAGCATTTCTTCTGTCACTACAAACCACAACTACTGCTACTAATAGTAATGATAGCAATGGCATATAGTAATAATATAGTAATGACAAAAGTAATATAATAGCAGCAATTATTATTAGTAAAAAATATTAGTAGCAGTAGTAGCAGCATTATAAATACATAAATACAGAGTGTTTAATAAATATTTTAGTGCTCATTTGGGAATATCAAAGAGCATTCAAAGCTAGAAAATATACTGTTTGGGTCAGCTGTATTAGGGTGTAAAAGCATACAAAATGTGCAGTAAAAATGGATCAGACGTTTTAAATTCATGCAGCAGTTATTACTTGCCATTAACTGTAATGTGATAGTCGTTTCATTTTGGCTAATATGCTCACAATGTTTTAAAACCACCAAAAAAGTAAAGTTTGACCCTCTACGACTGCCCACCTGTCCGGCCGGACACTGATGGATGATTGTCTGTCGAGCTCTCCTGCTACCTGCTTCAGACCAGTTGGCCACGCCCCAGTCACCGCCACTCGCCCAGCTACCGCCACCTGCCTTGGACTGGCTGCCCACTCTACACTGAAGTGGACTCCTAACTATTACTACTACTACTACTATTAATATTAGTAGTATAATAATTTTGTAGGTAGTTTGACCAGAGGAGGATGGGTCCCTCCTTGTGAGCCTTGGTTCCTCCCAAGGGTTCTTCCCCAGCTCTGAGGGAGTTTTTCCTTGCCACTGTCGCCCCTGGCTTGCTCACCTGGAGGATTTACATTTCATCTTAAAACTTTGTCCTTAATGGATTTCTGTGAAGCTGCTTTGTGACAACATCAGTTGTAAAAAGCACTATTAAATAAATTTAATAATAACATTAAAAATAAATAAATAAAATAAATAAAATTGACTTGACTACGTCACTCTGATTTACCTTATTAACTTTGTCAGCTGCTTTACAAAAGAGTGCGACTGCAATGTGAAGTACATTGCCTTGCTTATCTGTTCATGAAGAGTGATGTTACACCTTAGCTTGAGTTGCAGAACTGCCTTAGAGCCAGGGCTGAACTGGGAATTAAATTCAGCCCTGGATTTTTGTCTAGACCAGCCCACCTCAGCCACAGTGAACCCCACCACAGCCCCAAAAACCACTAGTCCATCCCTGCTCAGAGCCATCTGAGTGAAGAAATGTCTCTGTCTTTTTCTGGAGTGATTGTGGTGTTTTTGAGTTTGTTGTAACTCGTACAACAAGCTATACAGAGCCTCACTCGTCCTGTGGCCCACAGTATATATTTGCAAGTTAAGTAGCATGAGTGCACTGATCTCTGGGTAGTTTGCTCATTCTGAGCATTTCCTCTTGCTTTTAACCATGATCACTTGGGAAGCTACATGTGGCATAATCTTCTTGACTTGTGTTATTTAATATTGGTGTGTTTCTCTCTGTACTTCTCAGATCCTGGAGGTGAATGGGCAGAACTTTGAGAATGTGCAGCTGTCCAAAGCCAATGAGATCCTGAGGAACAATACACACCTGTCCATTACTGTGAAAACTAATCTGTTAGGTAAGTTACATTTACACAATACCAGAAAAGGAACAAACACAGACATTTATTTAAATTTAAAAAATTAAAAATGATTCAAATTCAAAACCTGGAAGCCCATAGATAAACATAGAAGCCCATATTCCTGACGCATCTCAGACTGAGAACTGACCCAATATCAGAAGTCTAACTCTGAGAATCGTGATGAATATGTCAGTCTTTTAGTTTGATCTACGGCCACCTCTTCTCTTAGTGTTTAAGGAGCTTCTTGCTCGGCCTGAGCATGACCAAGAGCACGACCACGAGGAGGAGCTTGATAGGAAGAACGGGGCACCACACATTCCTAAGATTGGAGACATCAAGAAGGCCAGTCGTTACTCCATCCCGGACCTGGCTGTGGACGTAGAGCAGGTGATGGGTCTGGAGAAAGCCAGCAAGAAGGCCAAGGCCAACACTGTAGGTGGTAGGAACAAGCTGAAGAAGATCTTTGACAAGACCCTCACCAGTATTTTACCGCCCAAGCCATACAAGTAAGTGGGCGTTGGTACTGAAAATCTAACATGTTTCTGATTATGAAACGGTTGTATGCAAACATGTTTTGTTGATTTTCTAAATAAAAAATAGTACACATTCTCTGCAGAGAACACACTTCACATTGTAATGCACAATTACTGTTTTTTCTGCTGTATTTAGCATATTTGAAATACATTTTTGGCCTCCGTAAACTTTATGGCACATGTTGTATTTTATTTTAATTTTTTCCAATATTTTAAACTCCAAAGTTCTAAATGCACATTATAACTTTTAAGTATGTTCACTGTAGAGGATGTTCACTGTAGAGAAAGTTTTCAACCTGATTTCAAATGTGAATGAATGAATAAATAAATAAAGTAAAAATTGCATATTATTTTATTTGTCTCAACCATATAGCTCCATTCATCACATTGCACATGTAGTCATGGCATTAATTGGGTTGTCTAACTGTTGTGGTGTGTCACAGTGATGTTGGTGTAGGCCAGTCTCAAGATGACAGCATCGTGGGCCTGAAGCAGTCAAAGCAGATTCCTCCTGCTTTGCCGGTCAGCGGAAATCTGTCGTCCAGCAACCCTGACCTGCTGCAGTCTCACCATCGCATACTGGACTTTAATAACCAGCCTGGTAAGTTCATATAGCCTTTTTTTTGCTGTTGCCTTTAAATCCTGAATGGGGTCCTTTGTTGAGAAGTTCAACCTTTGGGGGTGGACATTGCAAAATACATCAGTTTGCAGGAGTGATTCAGAAGAAATGCATTTAACAGTTTCGGGAGCCTTTATTGTTTTTACATGATGATAGTCTGTCATCTGTTGTGCTCACATTGTCTTAAATCTTTTTCAGAGTCAGTCCCCACAAGTGAGTATATAATCTCTAGTTCTCTAGTGACTCTCCATGACTTTTGCGAATCATGCCCTTCTACATCGATGGTCTTCTTATGGGAGAATGATTATATTTCTGTGGTCTTGATTTTGGTGTCGATGATCATTTCTCTTTCACAGATTTGGTGGGAAGCCAAAGAGCTTCGCAAAGTATGCCTAAAGAAAACAATGCTAATGTTATTAATAATGTATGACTGCTAACATGGGCCAATTAGCATTATGTATCATGCCAAATGGTCCCTGCTAGCTTGCATTAATTGTAAGCCTTTTTTTTTGTTTTTTTTTTAAAGTGGTGCGTTGCTTTAATCTTAACGCCAGACATGTTAATGTTGTGGCTGTTAGTTAAAGCCTCAGCCAGGCTATTGATTTGGGTGTTTGCACTTCCTTTTAGAGGTTCATTGATCTGATTAAATCAGCCATGACTCATACAGTGTCTCCTTTATTTGCTAAGTGATTCTCAACACTTAGACAGAGGCTTTATATAATTGCAGTGAATATTGAACGTTGCAGCATTCTGACTTAATTCTCCATCTTTATTAAAGTAAAATTGCCTGTAGTTGCTGTCATAAGAAAACGTCAGTTTTTAAACCATTGAACATGCCAGCTGCCTTTTACATTGTCTGAGCACCTTATGACAAATGGACCAATAGGAAGTTTAGTTATTTTCAATGTTTTTACGTACATAGGTAGGTTTTCCTATGACAGCAGCAAGATTCTTCCTCTTTCAGACTGAGAAAACTTGACCCACTTTCCTTTTTAATTGGCACTTCATTCTGTGCTGATGAAAGAGTTATAAGAATAATGATAATGGGATGTTTTAACCCTTTGTATTCTAATTCTGATAAGTGATGGGTGGTGGTGCAGCTCAGTGCTAGCAGCTGTGCAGCCTTACTTCAAGTATCTGAATAGCATCTGCCCTCCTCCTCAGACATGTCGGACCAGGTGCTGCGCGTGTTTAAGGCGGATCAGCAGAGTCGTTACATCATGATTGGGAAGGACACCACGGCCAAGGAAGTTGTGGCTCAGGCCATCCGGGAGTTTGCCCTGACCGCTGCCCCTGAAGCTTATTCACTGTGCGAGGTGTCCGTCACACCGGAAGGTGTGATCAAACAGCGCCGGCTACCAGAGCAGCTCTCCAAACTGGCCGACAGGATCCAGCTCAGTGGCAGGTAGTGGTTTTGAATAAACGTGCATTAAACCCAAGTTACAGACAGAATGTGGAACACTTTAAGTGGTATTTTTACCTGCTCTACTTTGTAGGTCTGTTTTATTGCTTAGTCAGGCTGGTTGTTCCTTTGGTGGGACAGTATTGCATGTTGTATTTAGAGTGTTACTGCTTCTTAACTCTTTAAAAAGAGAAAGATTGAGTTCTTTCGCTCTAAAATGAGATATGTTGGGTTATCTATTAATCCCCAGTTTGTTTATGTGGATTATGTCCTTCCATCATTAAACTAAAGGCTGAATAATACTTCTGCATCTGCAAGTCTGCTGGTGTCATGCACAGATGATAACATAGGTATCTGGTAGGCAGGTATGTCTGCTGACATACTTGCATGTGAGACTTTAGTTTTTATTAGAAGTATGTTATTGGTAACTTAAGGACTCTGTTAACTGTTTGAGTTTTCAGTAATGCTGAAATCACTATTCGGGTATTAGTTACATATCATTACATATCATATAAGAAAATACACAGACCAACAATCCTCTAATATGCGGCAGTTTTTCTCATATTTGCAAGTGAGTATGTTGTATTAACTTTCCTACTGCAAAACACGAGTGCATGAACATGAGCACATAGCCGAGGACGGGTTCTTAAGGACGTGATTAAGAAGGCAGACGTAGCTTGGCTTTATTACTCAGTAGGCTAACTACTTTAGCTGATGTTAGCTAGGTCCAGAAATAGTAAACGTTTATTTATCTGACAAATGACATTTTGACATGTCCACTGAGGAGAAAATACCCCATGTAGGAGACGACATGTCAAGTGTGACTCTGATTAGCCCTGTTAGCTCATTTGTAGAGGCAGCTTCCATTACTCATCCAACACAGAAACAAACCTACCCGTGTCTCTCGGCTGATTTTGAATAATAATATAATAATAATAACGTTCCTCTGCGTGCATGCCGTATTTTTGTGCAAAATGTGCTGTCTCCTGAAAGGTAAACCTGCCTCCTTGCTTTCGGCCATAAGTGTTCTTTTTTGTTTGTTTTTCCTTCTCTGCAGTTAACCGGATATTTGTTCATGAACACTTGTGGATACTGAAGTATCAGAGTTAGTCAGAATGCATATCCCTATTTTTTCCATTATAATTGAGGATAATTTTACAACATCAATTCAGTCTCAAGAATTGTGCTGTTTGGGTTTTCCATCTCCAATTCTACAGATCCACACAGTGTATTGTTGTGATTTCAGAGGTGTGCATGTGCTTCTGTGAGAACTGCTTACCCACAAACCCCTTTTCTGGGTGTAGATGTAGATATATTTATGTGCATTTTCGCGGAAGTGTGAATGCATAATGCCTTAATGTGGACATTTGCAGAAAAAAAATTTAGTCCTGCTACCAAATGTGAACAGTTTTCTTATTTTGTATATAGGGTGGTTCATTTGTTATTGAGGTGGGAATAAGAGTGACTTTAAGCCCTTTGCCCCTCTCCCTTCAAGCCTGTGTCCACTCTGGTTCACAGGTACTACCTGAAGAGTAACATGGAGACTGAGACACTGTGTTCAGATGAGGATGCTCAGGAGCTGCTGAGGGAGAGTCAGATCAGTCTGCTGCAGCTCAGCACGGTGGAGGTGGCCACGCAGCTGTCCATGCGTGCCTTCGAGCTCTTCTGCGCCATTGAGCCCACAGAGTACATCGACGACCTGTTCAAGCTGCGGTCGCGATCCGCTGGACCCTCCAGCCTCAAGCTCTTCGAGGAGGCCATCAACCGAGAGACCTTCTGGGTGGCCACTGAAGTAGTCAGGGAGCCCAACCAGCTCAAGCGCATGAAGATCATCAAACACTTCATCAAAATCGCCCTGCACTGCCGCGAATGCAAAAACTTTAATTCCATGTTCGCCATCATCAGGTGAGGGGGAAAGCTGGGAAGTGTGGCAAAAAGTTTGCAGTGTTTCGTCAATGATCCTTTGTACAATGTGTTCTCTACTTAGTGCAGTAAACCTCAGTGTTGAAGTTCAAGACTTATTATTAAATTGTCATTTGCTCTGTGTTTTTGCAGTGGTCTAAATTTGGCACCAGTATCCAGGCTGCGAGGTACATGGGAGAAACTGCCTAGTAAGTACGAGAAGCTCTTCAGTGACCTGCAGGACCTGTTCGACCCTTCCCGGAACATGGCCAAGTACCGGAACGTTCTCAACAGCCAGAACCTACAGCCGCCAATCATTCCTCTGTTCCCCGTCATCAAGAAAGACTTGACCTTCCTCCACGAGGGTATGAGAGGCACCTCGTTCATTTATACTGGCTTGAACCATTTTACACAGTCAGCTCATTACTGTGGATTATTTACAGTATTTTTTTTCAAAGAAGCTATTCCAGTGTACACTTTTTTCTGCTTTTATTTTTTTTTGCAGCTTTTCCTTTTGTAAAAGAAATAAATTGACAATAGATTTGCTCTAGTTTTGCCCTGAAGCTACAAGGTTTAGTGCAACTATAGAAGGTGTAGTTTATACTTCACCCATTAACACTGTGCACACTGCGTGCCTAAATAATCACAGGAATGTCCTTGAGTTTTTTTGCCCCATAATCCATTGGATTTCAGTTTTGTTTTTTGTTTTTTTCATTGATAAACACAATTTAAGTAAGATAGGCTAGGCTGTTGATTAATGCTATATGTATAATGTGACAATCTGAGCCGATTTTTTTTTTTGAAAGTGTCAGTTTTATGGTATGTTTAATATTGGCTTACAGTCCATTTTGACTGACCACCCTTATTATGTGGATTATTCAGATACCAGTCACTTTACAATTTAGCAGTAAAATTAGTTATAAACAGTCTGAACTGACATCTGTTAGAGTTGTACTTGTTTTTTTGCTCGATTGTCTCAGTTTTGAATGTGCTTTTCCTTTTAACCAGAAGTGGCATGGCAGCCATTAAAAAAGAACATTTTCCCAAGATTCCTTTAGTTTTCAACTAGTCGTGACTCGCAAGAGTGGCACCAGTGTATTTTTTTACATGCTTCTGGTGGCATGCTGTTTGCTCTAAGAGGCAGAAACTGGGTGCACATTTATTGTGCCCACATTTTGACACAAATTGGCTGGTTTAAACATTTTCAGAACATTTTCTTGTTGAAAAATAGTTTTACATCATAAATATTCAGGCCAATTTGTGAACTTCTTACAATGCTTCTCACTTCAACAGTTTGGGGATAAAACCAGTTTGTGGTGCCTCTATGAAAGAGGCATGAATAGAGTTGTTAAGTATTTGTAATTTGAAGTGTATATGTTGCTGTCAGTATGTGACATAGTGATGCCTACAAAAATTGACCAAAATATATCAAGTAGCTAAAACAGTAGTATTTTCTAATTTTAGGTTCACACCAGGAAATGCTGCATTCATATTAAAACACAAATGTGCTAGCAGTGGCCTAGTATTTTTATTTTTTATTTTTTACTGATTGTAAACAGTACATGTAAAGCATTTGAAAAAGAGATTTCTCTCTGTTTTACAAAATGTGTCTTCTTCTCCTCTTTCTGTAGGCAATGACTCAAAGGTGGATGGCCTGGTGAATTTTGAGAAGCTGCGTATGATTGCTAAAGAGATCAGACATGTGGGCAGGATGGCTGCAGTAAACATGGACCCAGCACTGATGTTCCGCACCAGGTGAGTGTCCAAACAGACCCTCGTCTCTGGAGACTCCTGTTGTGTCCAATTCTGTCTGCCCTGTAGGCTGAAGGCACATCACTGAAGAGCTTTTAGTGCACTCTACAGCTGCATCACGCAGTCTCCCCCACACATACACACAGGCTTTCACTGGAGGTCTCTGATTGGCTGCTGATGTGCATTTAATGCATTTCCATGCAGATTAGTGTACAGTTGTGTGTACTTTGTTGTTTGATGCTGGAAAAATTGTTCTTGTCTGTCTGTCTGTGGGCCTCTGGTGCTGCTCACCTTGGTACTCTTTGTATTTTTCTCGTCATCTAAGCATGTCTCCCTCTCTCTTTCTCTTCGCTTTCCCCTCTCTCCCACTCCTACCTGATTATCTCTCCCTCTTTCTCTTTCTTGATCTCTCTTTCTCCCCCTCCTTTTTTGCTCTGCCCCCCCCACACATCACTGTTCATGGCTCTCCCTTACAGGAAGAAGAAGTGGAGGAGTTTGGGGTAAGTGTGGTGACCTCTTGGTGACCTCAGACCTCTGGCCCCCATTGCCTCCTTGCTCACACGCACTCCTCCCTTCTCATCTTTTATAATTTCGGCTGCCTCCTCACCATTTCCTGTTTTTGTTTTTTTCCTTTCTTTTTTATTTGAATGCGCCTCCTGCTCTGACAAACCGGCTGTCTGACAGTGCGACTGTTATCACTTTTGCTACTCCGGGTCATTTAAATAAACTTACACCAAAAAAGAAAACATCCACCCACTAACACCATTTTTGTCATACAGTTTGAGTTTGAGTTCTGCCCTAGAATACATACCCTTCTGCATGATACTGTTTATTATTTATTAACGCACTTGCATTGTAATGTGATCTGTCGTGATCCATCTTAGCAAAAGTGATTTGTTTTAACTGCGTATAACCTCCAGCTACTGTACTTACCAGAGCATGTCTTTACCAGGTTTTATTTTCAGTGCTGTGTGAGTTTTTTGAGTTTAAGTTCACAGTTTTGTGTGCAAGTTAGATGTTCACCTTTGCATTGAAGGTAAAGTTTACAATTGCTTTTGTAACATCATGTATCATTAGGTTTTGGGCCTGGATGATAGGGCAATATAATCAATACTTGAAAGGCAGTAATCACCATGTTGTGAATAGAGAATACTAATTTTAAAAAGCTTGCTAAATAATATTAAATAACGTGCACATGTAGTATTTTATCCATTTTACTGTTTATTATGGGGCATTAATAAACTGTTTCCCAGAGTGTGACATACCATCTGAGAAGAATTCTAAGCGTTTTCCATACAGGTTGAAGGGAAGTTACACCGGTTATTAAAAATTTGTGTATGATGTAAACAAAGTCATTCAGAGTGGTTTCATGTGAAACAGTTTGAGAGAAACTTGCAAAGTCAGAATTGTTTACAGTGATGGTGATAGGAAATCTGAGCTCCCTCACAGAAAGTTATTGTATAAAATGATTATGAGTACTGCCTGATACTTTAGACATTGTGTTATGATAGTTTTGAAAGAAGATATTGGTCTAAAATATACTTTTTAAAATCCATATAGTCCCCAAAAAAGCTTTTTTTTTAGATGTGCTGCTATTTTTTCCATTTTTAATATTACATATAAAATATCAGCACACCTGTGTAGGTTCACTGGTTCTTTTGGAAAAATATTTATACTGAAAACATTGTGACCCTTGGTTGGGTCTGGTTTTACATCAAAGTTGTAAACTTTCATAAATGTAATACTTGGTTTCCCACAAGCATCTGTAGCTAAATTCCAGAGTGTGTCCACTGTAATGACAGAAAGATGTAAGATGTAATATTTTTTTATATGTAAAGCCTGTATCCGTGACTTTGGAGCTCACTCATGTGTAGCAGTCAGAAGTTTCTCCAGCGGGATGTGCTATTAGCCCACAAGGCACTTTTGTGGGTGTCGTTTAAAGAAAAAAATGAGCCATGAACCCACACAAGCAGCATTGCCCACATTTGCAGTCACAGCTTTCAAAAGGCAAAATAGTCTATTACCAAAAGACGTTTTTGTTACATGATATTTTATTATTTTAAAGGTGAAATTAAATATTTTCATTAATCGGATAATGCTAAGAAAGTAGATAAATAGATAATGCTAAAGGAGGCATAGAACGTAAGTCTAAGCTGCAGCAGGGCTGCATATGTTTCTGGAGGGGGGGCATATAATTGATCATTTTGTTATCAAGAATATCTGATAAAATATCATTCCGGCCTATTAGAAATGGCATCATACCCTTATTCCCTATGCCAGTTTCTGCTCTTGCCAGGTGCCCTGTGTAAACTGATCCAACCAAAGCCTGCTTAGAAAAACCTCAGAAACTGTTACATTTGGAATATATACAGATCTGCCTGTGATTATATGATTTACGTTTGTTTCTCTAACCCTGCTCAAACCTGTAATCTGAGTTAAAGTGCCCTCCTCTTCACCTCCCCTTTCGTCTGATTGGCTGAGATGCTGAATGCATGGAATGTTCTAAACTGCAAGGAATGCGACTTGCTGCATGTTTGTGTCTGACAGTACTGTCTGATCTTGGCCTGGCAAACGCCCCCACAGCCGTACTCACACTGTGTGTGTATGTATGTGCGTAGGTCTCTGAGCCAGGGCAGTGCCAATGCGGCAGTGCTGGACGTGACCCAGACAGGTGGGCATAAGAAACGGGTGAGGCGGAGTTCCTTCCTCAATGCCAAGAAGCTGTACGAGGACGCACAGATGGCCCGCAAGGTGAAGCAGTATCTGTCCAACCTCACACTGGAGACGAATGAGGAGAGCCTGCAGACGCTTTCTATACAGTGTGAACCCTCTGTAAACACATGTGAGTGTCTTTCTGTCTCTGTCTCGCACACGACCATACACATTTATGGACATGTAGATCTACCACCACATTATAGCCAGCACACCTGACTATAATGTTCACATGCCCCTGAAAGCCTTTATTACATGGATCAGGGTTGGGGCTGAACTCTGCAGGGTGGATCTTCAGGACTATGATTGGGCTCTGCTGCTATATATTATTCGGTGTCATTTGTCCAGCCCAGTCTAACTGTGGCACTGTGTGTTCTGTTGTCTGTTGCAGTACCTAAGGGCTCAGGGGACAGAAAAAGGCCAGACACGTCTCCAGTCGTGGCACGAGCAGCCGCCCACCAACGGCAGCAGCTCCAGAAACCCAACCAGGCCCTGCAGGTGCCTGCTGTTGCCCTCTACCCCTCTCGAAAGAAAGTGCCCGTCAAAGATCTGCCGCCCTTCGGTAAGATAGCATCAGTGCAGTTTGGCACCCCTACTACACACTACACACAGTATAGGCCTATACTTGTTTTTTCTTAGTTAGCTGATTTCTCTTTTGTTAGACATGTTGTAGCTGGCTTTCATACTTCCTCTTTTGGTGTTTGAAAAAAAAACAAACAGTTTGGCAAAAAATCAAATTTACATTTTACCCAAATGTCGTCAATTGATGTTTTGTGTCTGAATTTTGCTTCTTTGGTTAATAACTAGAAATACGGAGCTAACAAACACAAAGTCAGTAGTCACCCAAATATCTTCCATAAATACATCCCCAAAATTTCTCTTGACCTGGAGTTCTCATAGACTTATCAATGTGATTGAGAACACTGTTTGATTGTGAACTGCAAAAATGAACGAAATGTCATGTGGAGGACTAATGCAGGCAGACATTAGACACCCGGTTTTGTGGCGAATCTGACTTCCTTTAATGTGCATGCACGTCTTGTAGACATATAGAACCAACATTACGTGTACATGATTTCTGTTGTTTCTGTTTATAAACATACATATTTAGTGTAAAATTCAAGACAAAAACAACTGAAATTGAAAACATATTCTGTAGTGTCAGTATGTCCAAGTGACATTAGACTGCACTAGAGCTGCCACTACTACTAACAACTATTTTTATGTCGAATAATCTCTTGACTGTTTTACAGATTATTTAATAAATTTACTCCTGAAAAATCTAATTGACCATATCATTTAAGTCCTTTTAAGTTATTTTGGCAACAACAAGCTGAATCCTTACACAAAGAAATGTGCTTAGAATAAAGGTATAAATAAAATAATTAGACAAGGTCCCATTAAGCCCAACATGCACAAACATACACACTGGCACCAGCAAAACACTTACAGTGGAAATTCTAAGGTTGCAGACAGAGACTTTCATGGCTTTAATAATGAGTGCATTTGGCTGCTACAAGAACAGGAGATTTTAAAAAGCTCTCCCCTCTAATAGTAATTTAATAAACATGAATAGACAATTCTTACGGTGGTTTTGTCCTTTCCAGTGTCGCATCTGATTCAGTTCCCCCTCAAATGCACATTCCTCTTTACAAATCAGGTCCTCGGAGACAAGCATTCACTGAACATAAATCCATTGTGAAGCAACACTGCAACAATGGTAAGCAAACATGTTCAAGAAAGGTTAACGTTGCAGGCCCGTTAGAGTTATTCTCTATACCTTTTGGCTGTACAGCCTTTTTGGAACCTTTTGGCTTTCCTTAGTTCTGGTGTTGCCCAGGATGAAGACCAGGATGCAGTTTGAGCAGATTGAGAGAAGTCTTGTGGATGTATTTATGCAAAAGACTTAAGTGTTTGACTTTTAGTGTTTGTTAGCAATGTTAGCCTTGTTGCTTTATTGCTAAACAAAAGAAGCAAAATTTGGACTCTAAATGTGTCTTTGCTGATCGACTATATTCATTTATATTTGATTTTTCACCAAACTGTTCCTTTAAAGAGCTTCTGTGGTGTGTATAAAGACTAGTGAGAGCAAGAGATCAGTGTTTAGGCATGGTGTTCATGAGAGACTCTGTACACAGGCACGAGTTCTCCGCAGTCCCTGAAGAAGATTCTGTCTCTGTCTGAGGAAGCAGGCGATAGACACAGGAAACAGGCCGACGATGCTGTCTCCAACGCTTCATCTCAGCTTTCCTCTCCTCCTACATCTCCACACAGCTCTCCCAAAAAAGGTGAGACCAGGACAGACCACACATGTGCACATTAGTCGCGTCTATGCAGGGATTCTCATTACTTGCCTTTTTGCTCTCAAGTACAGTGATTCTCAAGGGACGTCCAGACACATTTTTCCTTCAACCCAACTTGTGGTACAAATGGACAGAGGAAAAATGTAGGCCGTCTCAGGGTCACTGAGGGACCGGTTTGAGAATCACTGCTCTAATAGACGTGCTGTTTATATAAACTGTGGCATTGTTGCCCCCTGGTGGCAGGCCAGTGAAATATGAGCATTCACTTGACAGCACATGACCAACTAGTGCTGTAGTGTCACATGCAGTTCATGCCTCTGGCACTGTGTCTCATACACATACATATATTTTCAGTTATAAGTAGCGCCCTCTGGTGTTTACACACATGCTTACTGTAAAATTCTGCCATCTTGTGGCAAAAAGACCAAATAGGCCCTCTCAGATTGCCAGAATATTCCATAGATGTTTCGTATTGTCGACCTTATGACGCTAGAACCCTTATATTCACGGATTTCAAACTGTATAAATGTGCTGATACCCATATACAGCATTTGTATCAGTAAAATCATAAAATGTATAATTAATTAGTTTTGCATTTTAAGACTTTAATGCATAATTTTTGCATCAAAGTCTTGATTTTTGGAATTGCAAGAGCCGTAACTTGAATTATAGCTTACAAATTTTAAGTAGAATTTTTTCCCTAGTAACACTTGAGCTTGTGAACTGCCCGTAGATGAGTTAGAATCAGACTCAACCACATGATGATGACAGTGCAACCACAGCTATGTGGCTATTTGACACCCTGAGTTCACTGTTAAAGCCTGAAGCCAGCAAAAGTGGATTTGCTTGCTTTTCTTCTTAGCTACAAAACGAACATAACTGTCCCTTATTTTTAGAAAACAATCACAAATAGTCTCAATATTTGTCTGAAAAGTCACAATTAGATATTTCCACAAAATCCCCTAGCAACAACCGCAATGTATTCTGTTTTGATTTTCTTTACTGTGATATATATTTCTCTGGTAGTCATACCAATTACTTACTCCAGAATTAGAAGTTTTATTTTTATTAGTTGGAAAGTTAAACAGCTAAACAGTCTCTCCCACAGATAAATATGCATGCAAACATAATCAAAGGCAGACAGAGATAGACAGTGCCAGGTTATGTTCTGTGAAGAGTTGACAGAATAAAAAGTCTGTTGTAGAATTATCTGCAAGGTGAGTTCGACAAGTAAATGTAAATCTGACAACAACAGATTTCCATTCTGCCGTGTGACGCTCTTGAGTGCTTGGCTTGTTTCTCATGGGTGCCATCCATCCATCCATCCATCATCTAAACTGCTTGTCCTTCTGGGTCACGGTGGGGTGCTGGAGCCTATCCCAGGTGTCATTGGGCGGAAGGCAGGATACACCCTGGACAGGTCGCCAGTCCATCGCAGGGCAGACAGACAGACATACACATTCACACACACACACACACCTAGGGGCAATTTAGCATGTCCAATCAGCCTGACTGCATGACTTTGGACTGTGGGAGGAAACAGGAGTACCCGGAGGAAACCCACGCAGACACGGGGAGAACATACAAACTCCACACAGAAAGGACCCTGGTCACCCGGCCGGGAATCAAACCCAGGCCATTCTTGCTGTGAGGCGACAGCGCTACCCACTGCGCCACCGTGCCGCCCTCATGGGTGCCAATGTCACATAAATCAATTTCACATTAATCCATATGCCTCTACCATACACAGTCTGAACACATCACTTACTGAAAGCAATAAAACAACACAAATCTGTATGCCACAGAATTATTGTTATTGACTGTCCAAAGTGCCTGGGCAACGCTGTATTATACTGCTGTCCCAGCCTTATACAGCTGTATACCTTCAAAACTATGAAACTGTGAGTTTGACACCTATGATATTCTGTTCCTCTTTAATGGAAGTCCATTTTAGCATCACTCACCCCTTTGCCTTGCATGCAGCCTTGGCGTCTTTGAGAAACCAAAGTGTGAGGAGCTTTACCTCTCACTGCAAAAACGCAGCTGCAGGTAACACAGCCTGGACAGACCTGAGGACAGTGCCATTCAGGGAGAGTCCCCCAGATATTAGGTCTTCATATAATATATCATCATATTTTTCTCTACCCTTCTATTAAATAAACATATGCTGTTGGTATTTACTAATGATATTTTTGAGAAATAATAGGCTTTTAAAATTGGATATGCTAATGGCAGTGTATGTATTTGTATGTGTTTTTTTGTGATGGGAGACCAAAAATGTCCTAACATTTGGGTGGACTCTCCCTGTGGCCTGAGCCATTACTGTGCTGTAGTTGTAGATGGCAGAGGTTCTGATAGGTCAGTAGAGCTGCAGCTGGCAGGCTGCCACTGTGAGTGTTTTGGCTTAGGATTGTCTGCCATTGAGAAATCTGTCTTCTTGGTTAGCGTGGTTCTTAACAGGGGTCATGTTGGCTCTTAAGGACATGCCTGCATTTTCCTGAATGGCAGAGTCTAAAGAAAATGCTGTGTTATTTTATTTAGCTGTAAAATAAGGTCAAATATGTTCAGAGAAGCCGAAATGTTATAGGTACAACAAATAGCTGTTGCAAACTAAGATCAGTCCTGCTGTTTTCTGTTATCGTGAACAGTAGAAGGTGCTTTGTTTTCCTGTTCAGGATACCTAGTTGGGCTGTACGATTAATTATATTTTGTATCAACAATGCATTGCGCATTTCAACAATATACATCTGTTAACAGAGCAAATCAAATAACGTTGCTTGGGAGAGAATGTACAGTTAGGAGCTGTGCCTAACGTTATAGTAGTGGCATTCCTGAGCGAATCAAACCTTCAGTCTGCTGGTGGCTACTGTCACTAGCCTTGCAAAGCACAAAAATGTTTGTTGTGTTTTATGGGGTCTGCACCTTATTAAAATGAAGTTTGATGTAGTATGTGAACCACAATGGTACAATTTGACATTTTAACATTCTCTTTCCAGTCCATATGGTCCATACATGGAAGCTAAGTGGCAAAAACGTGCAACTTACAAACAACGTTTTGAATTCATTGGTTTTGTAGGGTCAACTCCCTTACATGTATCTGACTTTTCAGCCTACAGCAGTTAGCTCCGCCCATTCACACTGAAGCTGTAAGGAGCGTTTCGGCCCATACTGTTTGATGAATGAGGCACAGTACAGACCAGCCAGTCAGTTTTACGTATTTCAGATTAAAAGGAACAATAACAGAAACAGCCTGTTTATTTCAAGGGATAAAGAGAAGTTGGAAAATTGTCATGTAAAAATTAACTACAACTGAAAGATAATTGTAAAAATAAGTATTTCATTTTTCTGCATATTGCATTTGCATTCTGCACAGTAGTGAATAGTGATTGCATAATGTGGAATACAAAATGGGATATAAAAAAATTACACAATTTTCTAACAACTGAAATGCATATGGAACATACACAGGTTGCCTAATGTTCTGTTGTTTAATGCTGAATAAAGAGCAGAAGGTGATGAAATTAAGTCTGAAATTGTGTATTTAAGAGAGACGCTGCTCATATCGCAGTCCAACAGCTATATAGCACACCCTGTTTTTGTCTGCATCGTGGAGCTCAAATACGTAGCCAAGATTTATTTATTTTATGTTATTTTATTTTGTTTTAGTATGAGCTAGCACTGACTGCATCAGTAGTTGTCGATGTCCCTGGCTTTCCTCGCTTATACTCCTAACATGCCACCCCTTCACTAATTATTGTAATGCTACAGAATGGCAGGAAGTAATAATAGTAGCACAACATACATTAATGCTTAAATATACACATGACAAAATGAAGAGTAACTGTCTGGTTCTACAGGTTTTGGGCGCACAAGTGATAACCTGTCCGACTCGGGCCACAGTGAGATATCATCCCGCTCCAGCCTGGTCAGCACCTCATCTCTGGACATGGGGCAGGACGAGCGGCGGCACCGTTATGGAGTAGGTGGAGAGGGTCACGGTGGGGGTCACCGGCTGGAGCGCAGGGCAACAGCTGATCCAGACCAGTACAGCTTGGGGTGAGTAACTTCTACGAACCACCTTTTAATCCCGCCCCCAGCTGTCAGCTTCATCTGTGTGACCAGGTTGTAGTTTTTGTCAGAATGGTTATTATAGTGCAGGTTTTTTTGTAGTCTGTGTTTATTCTTCTGAACTGTCTTGTACTTGTCTTGTACACTTTCTTGTGAGTGCCAGAAACAATTGTGGCAAAGCTGTAATTTGTGATTATACTGGGTTTGCTGCATTGAAGGATATCTTCAAACAATATCAGTGCAGACTAATAAAAGTATTATACAAAAGTAACATAAATAATGTGCCTAAGAATTACGGTAAGGTTACAGTAAGGCTTGAGTGCAGTTTACAATACTGCCATATGGAACGGACAACATTATCAAATAACTATATAAGAATCTCTAGAAAATCATAGGCTCTCTGATGGGAATCTGCACGGGTACTCAAGTACTTTGAATAACGAAATCACTGTTTGGGTGTCCATTCTGTTTTATTGCGTGATGTCCAAGAAACACAAGTCTCTGAACTTCTCTCTGAACTACCAGTGTCCTTCATAACAAAACATTCCTCTGCATGCTGCTTTATTTTTGTGCTGTCTCCAAAAAAGCAAAGCTTACAGCCCTAAATAACCACCCCACCCCCGCCCAATACTCTACCAACCCAGATATCTATCAATGAACTCTTACAGATAATCAGATATTAAAATAAGCTGGAATGCGCATCCCTTTTTGCTGACCAAGAAAGCTCATTTTTGTTGGAGAGACAACATTAACGATCTGGAAACTCCTGCATAAATCTCAACATCTGTGGTCAAGTCCTCACATCACCGTTTTTGCAGTGACTGGTCAGGGGTGCAGGTGGTCTCTCAGTGATAAAGATAAGGATTTGGAGACACCTAAATGGTGTCAGGATTGTAACCAGCTTTAATAGTTCATATCATCCTGTCTCACTTGGCATATCTTTTTTAATGAAAAATCTCCTGACATTTTTTCTTTCTTCACTCTTTCTCTCTCTGGGTCCTCAGGTCATACTCATCCATGCAGGACTGTAGGGGTGTATATGCAGGGGCAACCGTGCTTTCTTCGCCCAGCTCAGAGGAGCTGACCCAGGACCAGGGTGACCGCATGTCTCTGGATGCTGCGGACTCGGGCCGCGGCAGCTGGACGTCCTGCTCCAGTGGCTCCCACGACAACATCCAGACCATGCAGCAGGGGCGCAGTTGGGAGATGCTAGCGGAGGGGGCGGGGCTGTGGGCGGGGCGAGGCAGCTGGGCGTCGGCCTGCTCGTCCTCATCCTCATCAGCAGCCTGCTGGGGTGAGGATTCGGAGGGGGATACTGGTACCATAAAGCGGCGAGGGGGGAAGGACGTAAGCGCCGACCCAGAGACCAGCAGCATCACCTCCACGGGTTCCGAGGAGTCCAAACAGCACAGCAGGCGCCCATCACCCATCACCGCCGGCAACGCCAAGGGTGTCATCAGTAAGGATCATGCCTAACTTGTGATTCCTCAGGCAGGATTGTTCTTCCGTTTGCCGGGCTGTCTAGTATCTTTTCATGGAGGCAGTGTTTTAGTTTGTTGTAGCATATTTTCAAACAATTTGGCTTGTTATAGCGAAGTGTCTTTAAAACATTTTTCAACCCAGTATTTTTCTAGGACAAAATGGACATGATGATGATGTTGAACATATTTTGGGAGTCAGAGTCACTGCATAAATAACCAGTTAATATAATTTATATGGCATCTTTTTAAAACAAGTTCACAAACTCAACTTTACAGTTCCTCTCATATCCAAATATAAAAGGAGGATGAAGTACAGTTTTGTACTTTGTACAGAACTTTTTTAAAATTGATAGCTGTACTCATGTTTTTCCAGTTTCAAGTTAACTTGTCATTTGCACAACATATCAGGACATTCATGCATTAAAATTCTTTTGGTGAGGCACAGGTAAGCACTACAGCAGGGCAGTAATATATACATACTAAACACAGTGCAGACAAAACAAAGTAAAAATACAAAAAGAAAATACTAAAACTGAAATATATTAAATATACACAAATTGGACACAAAATATAGAGACAAGAGGGATCTGTGTTGAAAAAAAAAACTCTGCTATGTACTAATATATTAAACAAGGGATAATCTGAGAGGAATATATCCCTTACAAAAAAACATATCCAATACAAAGCACTTTACAGAATATAGAAAATAAACTAATATACAAAAGAAAATACAAACTAATGACGTTGGGTTTAATAAAACGATAAAAAAGTAAAAAAAAAGGCAAAATAAAGAAAAAAAACTGGTGAATAGGGGAAATTTGTTCAAACCGAAAAGTAGAATGACAGGGCACATTTTATGTTTTTATGTTATTCCGTATGTTAAAGTCAGCAAATAAATAGTAGTTGTGCATGAAAATCTGCAGAAATGTGTTCTCTGTAGATGATGGGAACTTAGTTTCACTTAGAAAACAACAAAACGTTATTTGACAAGCGGTGCACAGTCTTTTGCATACGACGTGGTGTCTTCCGGACTGTAGAGGATACTGACCACCTCTCCACCTCCTTCCACCCCCGACCCAGCTCGTAAAGATGGACGTTACCGCGACCCCCCGCCCACGCCTCCAGGCTACACGGCGCTGACCATCTCGGACGTGACGGAGGCAACGGCTCACGCTGGCCGGAGGCCACCGGACTACACCACGGCCCTGCAGCGCTCCCGCTTGGTAACACACTCCCCCGACTCCCAGCAACCCCCTGCCGCAGGCAAGCCAGGGCCGCCGGACCCCCGGGCCCCAGTGGAGGACCAGGCCCAGGAGATGGAAGAGGAGGGTGAGTGCTTGTCTCCCAAACTCAGAGCTCAGAGGAGGAGAGGCCCACACACAGCAGTGCCCCCCAGGCCATGAGTTACACACACCATCTCGGCAGGCAGGTAAAACCTCCCAAACTCCAGCTCTTCCTCACACACACACTAGGTCTGCACGATAGTGGACAAAATACAATATTGCGATTATGCTGATAAACGTCGCAGTATGCCTAGTTGTATATGAAGAAAAAAACTGGTGGACCATTGACGGGACGTGGTCAAAGATTAGCCTGTGTTATTCGGATCAGATTTATTTATGCCTCTTGGATTTGGACAAATGCCTCAGTTCATCCAAACTCCCACAGAATCTTTGAAGTTGGTCAAGATGCTCGGAGCTCCACCGCTTAAAGAACAGAATGTTGTTCATTTGCATAATGCAGGCTTCAGCGTTATTGTGATAACTGTTAATAAACACTATATCATGCAGACCTAACACGCATACACACATACAGGCACACACACCACACACACACACAAGCTCACACACTCATATGCACTCACAAACACTGCGTGTGCCTCATGGCCACAAGCCTGCGCTGCATGTTAAGAAATCACAACTCATCCACGGCCCCCCACCACCTATCACCAGCCACCAGCCATCACTTCATCTCACGCGGTGCATGCGTCGCCACGGAGACGGCATTCCTCCACCGTTGTGGCAACCTCCCTCCCATCACTCTACGCTCTGCAGTGTGTGTCGGCACTCTCTCATCAGTGCTTGGAGGGACATCAGAGCTGTTGTCTAGAATATATACAGTACTGTGCAAAAGTCAGAGACCTGTCAAAGCGGTCATTACTAAATGTAACATCAGGAATTTTGTACTTAATGTGTTCAGTTTTTTTTTTTTTTGCAGTTTATTAGAGTTTCCATTCTTTTCAGACTTGCTTTCAGTTTTTCAAAGAAATCTGCAGGGATGTTCTTCCACAACTCCAAAGTTCAATCTTAGAAATTAGCTTTTTCTGCTTCTCACAATCCAAGTAGTCTTAATCACATTCAGTGAGGTCTGGACTCACTCGTCAGACCTCACTCTTTCGGTCAATCTATTGTTTTGAGAGCACCAGCTTCTTTGTGTGATTCTCAAATTTTCTTCTTTTTCATCTATTTCCTTTTCTCAATAAGATCGTCTTTATAATTACACATCTTTCTCAATCCATCCAGACTCATATCGTTGAGTTGACTTCTTACAGTGAAATGATGGACAGAAACACCTGTGGATTTTCCCAAATGTGATGGGGACAGTTTTGGTGGTCTGCCAGGTCTTACACCATTGTTGTCCCATTTTCTACATAGCTTCTAATCATTTTTTTGAATTTCAGATTTGAAGCTCCTGTTTTCCCCCTCCTTAGGCAAGTGGAGTATCTCCTGAAAAATATCTTCTGAAAAAATGATAAATTTGTATTTAGTGGCCATTTTGGAAACTTAACAAATGTAGGGTGGTCTCTGACTTCTGCACAGTACTGTAATTCGATTAATGCTTGCTGACAAACTAGCAGCCATGTGAAGTACTTGTGCTGTAAATAATGACTTTTCTATTAGGAAAACTATTTGTTACCACTATTTGTTTTATCAAATTAGCAGTGCATGCTTAGGTATTAGATATTAAATGTTTTAGGTTTGAATGTAATGTATTTATTCACAGTAGCTGAGTTGTTGTATATCACAGCTGCATTTTGTTGCGTATTTCAAGTCTTGTCTTGGTTTACACCGGTGTGGTAAGTATATTGTTGTGTGTATAGGCGTTTTTCTACTGCACAAAGTAAGAGAATTTTTGGCACCAGTAAACTGGAGCTGTGCTTTGTCTGCTGGCTGTCTTTCCAGTATTATGTCACACTTGTCTAATAAGCGACTTGTTCGATTCTACATGAGTAGGGCTGTGTAATACATGTTGGTTTTTGTTTTTAAAATACTTTTTGAGGAAGATTATTTCTTCCTATACAAGCAACCTACACATTTCCTACAAATGAAAATGTGAACTCAAGAATATGACCAAAAGCATGTTCTACTTGAACCTGTTTAACTACATAAAATGTCCATGTTACATTTTACCCTGTGTTAGTTTGTAGACATTGGCGTGAATGTTTGAGCGAACAATATTAATTCATGTCAGCAGAATTATTGTTATGCTAAGCTAACTATAAGTAAAATGGCTGCAATGTAAGATGGCTAAAAGAAATTCAAGAGAAAAATGAAAGCTGTTCTCTTGCACAGTGTATGTGACATACAAACAGTGCAAATCACACTAGTGTATTCTTCCTTAGTTGAGTGTCTTAGAGAGGGATGTTTTAGTCAGGTTTTTAATGTAAATGAAAGTGCAGCACACTCTCCATCTCCTCCCACTGGCTGGTCTGTAACATCTGGAGTAGTCCACTTTGTTGATAAAGGGGAGTGACCAGTTCTTTGAGGTGAGCCCATAGCGATTGCTGTGCTTGTTGACATAGCTTTATTTACATATTGGTTCAGGTTTGTTTTTAGAATTTTGCACAAAAATATTTCAGGTTTGTTACAAATGGTTCTTATTAAAAGTGATGGGGCATCCCAAACTCAGCCAGTGTTACAGTTCTGGCCAACATTATTGGCACTCTTTTCTTTTTTTTATATAAAATTTACGATATCTTCATGAATAAATGGAAATATGCCAACTTTTTATCATTAGAATATTTTAATGAATGTCTAAAGTTATTAAACAAAATAAACATGTTTTTTCAACTTGTAGGAAGTGGTTTTAAGAAGAGAAATTAATTATGACATGGACAGTATTAATGGCACCCTTTCCTAATATTTTGTTGAATGCTTTTTAGCAGCAGTGACTGCCTCCAAATGTTTTTCGTAGCCATGTACAAGCTTCTTGCAGCTGTCTGCTGGTAGTTTTTTCCTCTCCTCCACTGCAAACTATTCAAGCTCTTGGATGTTTGCAGGGTATCTCTGCCCCATGGCAGATTACAGCTGTCTCCACAGAGTTTCACTGGGGCTGAGATCAGGACTCAATGCTGGCCAGTTTAAAACAGTCCACTTCTTCTTTTGCAACCATTCTGTTGCGCTTTTTGATGTGTGCTTTGGGTCTTTATCATGCTGGAGGACCCATGATCTTCGTGGGTCCTCAAATCTAGCTTCTTTACACTGGGTAGCACATTTTGCTCTAAAATGCCTTGGTAGTCCTCTGATTTCATTATTCCTTCAGTACGGTTGATACCTGCAGTACCTGAGGCAGCAAAGCAGCCTCACAACCTAATGGATCCACCACCATGTTTGACTGTAGGTAGGGTCTTTTGAGCTTCAGTTCATCTCCTATAAACAAATTGCTGGTCTGCATTGCTAAAGAGCTCTAGTTTTGTTTCATCTGTCCACAAAACTTTTGCCCAAAAAGATTCTGGTTTACTTTTCTCACTAGTTTTCCTCTTTGACCCCTGTCCTAGTAGGTTCTTGACAGTCCCATAACCAATACATTTCTTAATGACATTATACACCGTTGAAACAGAGATGTCAGGGACTTTGGAGATGGCCTTGTACTCTTTACCATTCTTGTGTTTGGAGATAATAGCACTTCTTATGTTCTTAGTCAGTCAGTTCTCTATTGTCTTCACTATTGTGAAAAGGCATCAGGGAAAGTAAAGTGGCCTTTTTAAGCATTAAAGCCATCATTCATTGGTTAATTCAAATCATCTGAGCCCTAATTTATCACAGGTGATTCTAATTTCCAGTTTATCACTGGTCTGATCTAGTCTAATCTGAATGGATCACATCTACATTTTTCATTTTTTTATTTTTTCTCCTGTCACTTTGTAAAATAGTTTTTACTGGTATCAATATTGGTGGTCATAACTGTAACCTACAAAAATACTTAATAAATACTTAACCATCTAGCACTGCAGTAACACTGACATGGTGGTGGTGTGTTAGTGTGTGTTGTGCTGGTGCGAGTGGATCAGACACAGCAGTGCTGCTGGAGTTTTTAAACAGCGTCCACTCACTGTCCACTCTATTAGACACTCCTACCTTCTCAGTCCGCCTTGCAGATGTAAAATCAGAGACGATAGCTCATCTACTGCTGCACAGTTTATGTTGGCCATCCTCTAGTCCTTCATCAGTGGTCACAGGATGCTGCCCACAGGACACTGTTGGCTGGGTGTTTTTGGTTGGTGGACTCTTCTCAGTCCAGCAGTGACACTGAGGTGTTTAAAAGCTCCAGCAGCACTGCTGTGTCTGATCCACTCAGACCAGCGAACACGCACTTCAGTGTTACTGCAGTGCTGAGAATGATCCACCACCCAAATAGTACCTGCTCTGTGAGGGTCCATGGGGGTTTATATATATCATCATAATTAATAATTATACTGTGATGCAAACTTGTGGTTATACCACCCAATTTTAACTTAGAAAGGTAGCTAATGAACCAAATACCAAAAAAGACTCTTTAGACATGTACTACTGCTAACCTGGTTATTAAAACTATAATACCTTTATAATATGGTTTATCATCACCTGAAAACTTCTTGATTACGCTCTTTTACTTTGCTACAATTAACAAATATACCCACTTCCAGCACCTCATGCTGATTTCTAGATCAAGCCATACTCACTTTTGGTTTGTAATTAAAGGAAGGTATTGTCAAGACCAACATACAGAGCAGAAAGGCAGTTAAATCATTATTATGTCTGTTCCAGCTTTCAGTCAAACAGCTGGAAAGTGAACTAGAACTAGAACCTTAAATTCATTCGGTTCCTGTTTGGGTTTGTTCTTGTTTTTGAATGTGCAGTGGAAAAACGCCATCTGTATACATGTATATGTATATGTATGTATGTGTTTGTCTTCTGACCGAGATTCTTTCTTCCTGCTTCCAGAGGATGAACAGGTGTCAGCCGTTTAAAGGGGATTACGCTCTCTACTGTTGGACACTTGGTGCAGTGACCCAAGGCCTAATAAAGGGCCTTCGGAGGCAGACAGACAGCGAGAGTGACCAATCATCATCTCAGTGGCACTGCCTGTCTCCCTCCTCATTGGTGGATTCATCTCCCTTCCCTGCCTTAAATCATCATGAGGGGTTTGTTGCCCTGCATGCTAAAATACTGTGAAGAAAGGAGGAGAATGAGAAAAAAGAGTAAAGAAGAAAAGCAGATTACCTGGCACTTTGGAAAAAATCTATTTAACTTAAAGGAGAGAAAAAAAGGACTGAAACTGAACTCAAAGCGAACACAGCGGTGCGACATTCACACAAAGACAAAACTGTCATTGACAGTTACTGACACCCGCTATGGTCCTCCCCCCTTCACACACCATCACAAACTGTTTTGTTTCCGCCTGCACTTTTTAACGTTTTTATAAGATGAGAATATAACGCACAGTCTCTTCAGTCTCTCTCTTCTCCCTCTGGAACACATACGAAAAGACACTCAAACTTTTCAGACTCCAGTCACACTAACTCTCTCTCTCTCTCTCTCTCTCTCTCTCTCTCTCTCTCTCTTTCTCTCTCTCTTTCTCTCTCAATGTCTGCTATGAGTAGAACACTCTGATGTGCGTCTATCACTGTTACAGTATTAGTTGTACAGTCGGACTGGTAAGAGCAACATGTGGGAGGTGATGTAACTGCACTAAAGGAGGAAAGGAAGCACACTGGCATGACTGTCTTTGGGTGTATCCCAAATCAGATCATCACACTACTTCACTCTCTTGGGAACTATGTCAGTGGAGAAACCTAGGGCTCATGGTGGAGTGTGATTTGGGACACAGCCTTACAGAAAGTCCACAGAGAAAGACTTGACTTGCCATCGGTAAATGCAGAGAGAGAAGGCATCCCAAGCTCACAAATTCATCAAGCTAAGTGCAGAAACAAGACATTTTTAAAGGTGAAGCCATGACTGTTACATCACAGAGCTACTTGAGTGGTTTTGAAAAAACTGGCAGGCCACAGTAATCCACAGACGAGGTTTTTGGGGTCATCTCACTCATAGTTCACGCTTCACGCCTTCCGTTCCAGAGGGGCTAAAGCTTCTCGTTTTGGGAAGCATCTCATTGCCATTTTGTAGGGAGCTTGACACTTACCTTTGCTTAGGTGCACACTCCAGTCAGCTCACTCCTTCTGAACGTCTCTTAGCAGTCTGTGAAGATGTGAGGTTATGAGACTGTTCCTTTAGCTCGTTTCAGTTTCGCCTGTTTCAGATGCCATACTGAGGCCTCTCAGAGTCCATGAAATGGGAGTGCGGTCAAAAGTTTCTTCAGTGAAGTGATGCAGGTTTGCTGGATAAACATATATACACAGTAGACCTTCCTTCAGGAAGCCCCGTTGGTCATACTGAGGGTAAAAGACTGAACGGTTCGCCCCCCATTCACTTGACTCACTTTTCTGAATTGACACACTCAACAGCTCTGTCATTAAAGGCTACTTGTTACAGTGGTGCGTAGGAACAGACGACTGCAAACAATCAAGTGAAGTTGTGAATTGACTGGGTGCTACTTTCTTCCTGACAAGAACTTCATCTCAGACGGTCAGGCGTTGCGGGACATTTGGGACCGACGTGTGGTGGCTTTTTGTGGTGCTACGTAGGCCTTCTGAAGGCTTAAGTCATGCTTGCGTCACCCTGTATGTGCAGAAGGGGTGTGGACCAGGCCAAAACTGCTTAGGACTGACAGGAACTTTCCAGAAACTCCGGTGGGGGAAGGAACACATTAACCGACCCAAAGGCTGCCAAGCTGAACGAGAACTCAATGGATGAGAACAAGTCACTTTTATTGTTTTATTTTTATCACTGAGTTAAGCTGATCACATTGATCAGTCGTTAGGAATGATAGACTTCGAGGGGCGGATGGGGGGGATTGGGGGGTGCAAAAAGATTGCAGTGTTTTCCACTGTACCCTGTAATATCACTTCAATGTTTCTTTCTCTTCTTGCTGTAATTTTTCTTTGGTTTTTGTAATGGTTGCAATCGTTTAAAAAAGGAAAAAAGAAGAAAAAAAAAGACGATCACATTTGTAAACCAGTGGTTATAGAAATCATTCACTTCCATTTGAAATTTTTGGAACTAGTCATGCTTTTTTGGCAAACTGAGTGGAGTCCTATTTCGAAAAATAAGTTGCACAAAATGTACAAGCATAAGATAAATTGTAGTAGGTAGCGCTGCTACTTTGTTTGATGTGTGATGTCAAGTGAGAAGTGTACATTTAGCTGGTGAAGATTTTCTCATTCTTGACTACTTTTACCTGTACGTCTTTTACAAAGACAATTGGTGGAGTATGTATCAGTTGTTACTTTCTGTCTTTCTTTCTTTTTGTATTTTTAATACAATAATTGTAAATATTGGTTATATTTTTGTTGAATTGTAGAAATGTACTATGTTTATGCCTCAACATCCAGTTTATATGAAGCTGGGAATCAATAAATGCGACAAAAAGGAATCCGCTCATAGATTTCAAATGCACTTATTATTGTTTTTTATTTTGTTTTTGTTTTTCCCCATCAAGGTTTTCTCTTTGAAATATTGTTACTTTAAATGACCTCTGGCACCATCTAGTGTTTGCACAAGATTAAGACATGGAAGTAACTTGAAATGTGTATCTCAAACTTTTTTAACTGACAAATGTATGTCAGAATTAATAAAAAGATCGATACCTACTTGCAGTGCCTGTATAAGAGTATCTTCACTTCTTCACCATCGTGATGGATGGTGTCATTCCCTCTTTCATCAGCTGTACAGAATTAAGGTGAGTTTTTGTTGCAAGCATATTTAAAGCCGTGAGTATTTGTGATGTCATTTTTGTTTACATTAAATGTATTTATTAATTTATTGTGGGTGAATGAGAACCACTGTCATGGACCACTTAGGTCCTGCAGCATTTTGAAGAGGTTGCAAATCTCTTAACATCACAAGATCCTGCATGATTTCATCCTGCTCCAACAGAAAATTGGAATCATTTGTCCTGCTCCCACCCGCAATCAAAATATTTTTGCCTGCTCCCACCCATGCAGTTCCTTCAAGGTGAACTGACATCCAATAACTGCAAGAGTCTATTCACAAATACATTATTCTCTGCTGAAATAACACAGTAGTGATGGTCATTGGGTTTACTGGGACTTTCCCATACACCATTTAATTCCTGGTAAACACAAAGCAGGAATTAAACCTCAGAACGGTTATTGTTGCCCAGCAAAACACCAACAACATATATATATATATATATATATATAGTGTGTGTGTGTGTGTGTGTGTTATATATATATATATATATATGTGTGTGTGTGATTTGGTGATCATTTTACTTTATTTCGGCTATTCATTGTAGGGATTCAGTATGTGATGTATTTGCGTAATGAATGCATATTGTAAAATCCCTGATCAATGTGTCCCTAACATTTGAACATTCCCATTTCCATTATCAGGGCAACAATTCAGCAATTTCAAGGAACTAGAGATGTTGAGATTCAGCTGGCAAGAGGATGCATGTCTATACTGAGCCCACGCACAGTAAGGAAGAATTTAGATTATTTATATTTAGAGGTAGGACATGTAGATGACTTAATCTTGCTCAAATGTTATCTAGCAAAAACCAAAACATGCTGTGCCCTGCTTTATAGTAGAACCTTGAAAAGTACTAGTATCCCACTAATGCATAGGTATTAAATATGTGTGGATTGTTTTATGTCTTTTTTACATCCTATTTATTAAGATGTGCAAATAACTGTGGCATCCACTGTTCATACTGTTCATTGGTGGTGGACTAATATTGGGTTTTCAAGAGCTGATTCAGATAGAAACCAGCACTGTCAAATAATAAAGACCAATATAATTCAAATTTGGCTTCTTATCAGTTTACAGACCATTTTAGGAATTGAAAATAAAAGTACAGCAGTAGTTCTCATAGAGCAGTGGTTCTCAAAGTGGTCCTCAGAAAACTCGATACCCCCCAGACAGTCCACATCTTACTGTGTTAGATTTTTAGACTTTATTGCGCTGGAAAGGTGAAAGTCTTTGTTTTTGTAAAGCTTTTGCAATACAAAACATGTCAAAGCATGATTTGACAGATTACTTGCACATTCGTCTGATTAGAGACGCTGTTGTGAAAGCCCCACTAGTAATCTTTGATCTTTAACTGTCTCAGGTCTGAGGACATTTTGTCATAGACCTGTGCATATCTCCTTAAATTCGCCTTTAAAAGGCACCTGTACACAACATGATACCCACATCTTTTATATTAAAATGTTCAAAACAATCTTTCTCTATGCCGAGGCCCTGTTTGACCTAGAGCACTGTGTGAAGAAATGATTTGCCCCTAAAGCTGAAAGGTTGAAGTCCGATTTAGAATTGCTTTATATCTCTTGTAAAAACATAACTTTACTCATGGGGACTTGGGTACGTTATCACATAAAATGGGTTTACCAAAGTCTTAGGTTCACAAAAGTAGTGGAATGTATGAATAAAATAGCAGATAAATGTGTAGTAAATGTCTGAAATGAATTGTTGTAAAATCATTTATTGAGTAGAAGTGTTGTCTGTCACTCGATACAGAAGTCAGGAACTTTGACAGTTTCCTGTCTGTTCATTAGTAAATGTTTACTTACTGTATAAAAGTTCTATCTTTACTGTGTAAAAGCTGTAACCAAAAACACACAGAATAGAAAACAAACTATTTACACTGTTTACTCTCTCACTTTTCTGTGCATGTTTTCAACTGTCATGCCATGCAGCAAAACAGTTTATGTCCAGCTGCAGGTACAGGGCAACATCACCCTCCCTGCATTTCTGTGGTGTCCTTTTGCAGGCCTTGGCTTTGGAAATGTTCATGCCTCCTGCGACCCATGGAGACCCTTCAGCTGGGGGCTGCAGCATGGACATCAGTGACAGGCACAGAAAGGAGCTCTGAGAAGAGACCTGCCACAGAGCTCAGAAGTCAGCTACTCTAAGAAAGCTCTGTGTGTCATGGGTTGTTTTTGTTGGGCCAGATGGAGTTTCTTGCTAAGAATGAAGCTTTTGGTCATGGCAATGTCCAGAAAATGATAAAACAGCTTTCTTGGTTTTATGCTGTGCAGTGTGAGCTATTGAAGGAGCTGGTCTGATTGGTCAACTCCTCCCATGTATTGCTTGTATTGTATAAATAGTGTGGGACAGGGGATTAATACCTGTGTCCAAGAGCCATCTTCTTGTTTCACCCTCCTCTGCGCAAGTTCACCAGAATGTGCCGTGTGCATTGTGGAGCACACTCATATCCATCCATAAACAATGGGGCCATCCCAGTTCCATATTATGGAGCCTCTATCTGATACTTTTGTGAGGGCATTCGTATCTGTGCCCTGTTGTTGTGGTTCTCCCTGTAAGTCCCTCAGGCAGAACATCTGTGCTCCTGAAGAGCCCTGAAGAGCTTGGCCCTAAAATAGAATCATCCATGTAAAGGCTGTAGCCTGTGCCAAGGTTACCTGGCTGCACTAGGGATATAACAACATCATAGGACAGGCCATGTCCAGAAGCAACGTCACTTTTGTCTGTGTGAATTCCCTGAGCCAGCCAAGATGAACTGTTTGAATCCCCATTTTGTGGGTTTTCAGCTTTGGAGGCAACCCTTCTTTCATCCACAGCGAGGTCTAGCTGGAAGTGCCTGTCGTGCTGGGCTTTGCCTCTTTTTCCTGTCATAATGGACATCTTCATCAGGGTCACTAAGATGAAGATTCCAAGATATTGCTCTGTATCTGTCCCATGACATGATCTGTGACATGATGGCAGATGCAAAGAAAAGAGGTGATCCTGCCTTCAGTAATCCCTGATGCTGTCAGTTTTTACCAAAGCCATATACAGAAGCAGCCCAATGTACTTATAAAAATCCCCTATAAAATCATTGTTTTCTTTTATTATTTTAGCATTATGTTAACTTTTGTGGTTTATAAATTATTGATTGATTTTGTAAGTAAGAATTTGAAACATTGATTCAAAAAATTACATAATAAGTTCATTAAAAATAACATGAATTAATTTTTTTTTGATAATTAAACATCAGCAAATTTTATCCATTTTCTTTCCCAAAAATTAGATTTAAAATTCCTGTTTTTCATGAGATTGTCACACAATGCTGCCCCAAAACATACCCCAAAAGGATCTCTAAACATAGTATTTTTTACAAATTGTTTTTGAACTAGAGTTTTAAGTAATGTGCACGCTTTCCTAACAGATGCCCACAGGATAAAGATTAAATCTCAACTGTTAACTGTATTTAGTCCACTGCAGTCACTCTGATGCAGCTTTTGTGGACTTATAATGTCACAATCAAGTCTTATCTAGTGGTACATATGCTTCGCTCTTCTCACTGATAAAACTGTAAACATAGGAGTAACATACACAAAATAAACCACTTTGTCAACTAGGAGTCCTGTTTGAAATTTGCACAAAAACACCTGAAAGATCCTCCAACATACTGGCAGAAAGTTTGGTGTTCAAATGAAACCAAAGTCAGAAACCTGACACTGCCCATCACCATCCTGACTGGGCATAGAAGCATAATGTGGGAATGTTTTTCATTTGCAGGGACTGAGGAGCCTGTAAAGATTGAGGTGAGGATGGATGGAGCCAAGCCTGGTGAGATTCTGGAGAAAAGCCTGATAAAATCAACAAAACGTCTGAAAAAATGTCTTGGAAATTCAAATCGTAACAGGACAGTGATCCCAGGAATAAGCTGAACCAAAAGTGACTTGTTAGGAAGAAAAAGGTACGTTTAAAGTGGCTAGTCAAAGCCCTGACCTTAATTTTACTGGCTGTCCATCACTGAAAACTATCTGACCTCAGTTTTGAAAAGTTCTTCAAATAACAGTCCAATTGAAACATGAGATTTACAGAACCTGAAAAATATGTTGAACATTTGCAAGGAAGTGCAAAATGCATTTTCCTAGTTTGACACTATGAACTATTCGTAGTTCCAGCCTGAAGCCCAGCTGCTTGTGTGCTCTTACGACTCCATGACTGTAGTTCTTTTGTTCAAATACAGCTTTTAAATGGCAAGATGTTCTATTGTTGACTCTCAAAGCTATTTCCAGCTACTCTAATGGAGAATATATTTATCACTGACGTACACCATATGATCAAAAGTATGTGGACAGCAGGCCATCACACCTATATGAGCTTGTGGGCATCCCATTCCACAGCCATGAGCATTAATGTGGAGTTTGTCCCCTCTTTGCAGCTATAACAGCCTCCACTCTTCTGGGAAGCTTTCCACGAGATTTGGAGTGTGTTTGTGGAAATTTAAAATCAGATGAATCTTTTTGAATCATTCTGTAAAATAGTGTTGAAGTGCAATAGTAGACTTACTTTCATGTGATGTCACTTCAATGAGCAGGAGTGGTAGCTTGCTATTGGTTGTTAGTGTGAAAACACTGTTACATTTTCCTTTTTACTGTTGCACCTAAAATGTAGCCTAATGTTTCCAGTCCCGTATTAGGACAGGTCATTAGATCATAGGCACCTGAACAATGAATCAAGTGGGGCATTGCCACCCCCCCCAACCACTCCCCCCGTACATTCAAAAACCAGAATAGAAGGAACAAACTGAAATGAACATAACTTACAATTCCAGTTTATTTTCCAGCTGCTTGAGAAAGCTGGAACCACCATAAACACCCAGTTGCAATTTTAAAGTATC